GATGGGGTCTTTAAAGAGAAAACCAAGAGAAATGAGGCCCTTTAGGGTGGGCTCTGATATGATATGGCTAATGTCCTTGTTCCAAGGGGAAACTTGGACAGAGCAGAGAGGCACATAGAGGAAGAGGGTGTGAGAAGATAGCCATCCACAGGCCAAGGGGAGAGGTCTGGGTCAGACTCTTCCTCAGCCTGCCGGAGGAGTCAGGCCTGGTGACAGCTTGCTCTTCTCAGATCAGGTTTCTTACTCACACCCCCAGGTGCAGCCCTTTGTCACAGCAGTCCACAGGTGACTTGATCTTGGAGCCTCTTGACTGGCACCCGAGGACAGTAATGCCCACCTGGTCATGTGAACACCATTAAGGCTCCAATGTGGTGTTTGTTTTGTTTGTTTTTTGAAGGAGACAGGCAGACCCTGAGAACCCACGTCTCAGAAAGGCGATGCTGGGAATCATCTGTGTTCAGACCCTGATGAGAGGTACATGTGAGAAGTGCAGCCCTCGGCACCCAGCAAGCGCCCAGCAACAGCGGTGCCTAGCTGGCCTGTGCCGGACCCCCTAGCACAGCAGCTCAGAACTTTCAAAGAGAATCGGGTCACCCAAGGCACCTTTCAAAAGCCTCTAAATATGGAGAAGATCGAGAAATCACCATTAGTGCAGGGCCTAGTGTATTTTTAGCCAGAGAGTGGTCTCCGGCCTAATTGACAAGGCTGTGAAGTGGAGGCTTAGGTAGTATATGTGCGGGCTCCACTTTGTGTCTGTGGGGCCCCTTGGGGTAATCAGAGAGCACCGTAGTCAGCCACTCACAGGCAGTTTCTAAAGGAGGAGGCACAGCCTCATGAGAAGGGTGGCCCCTGGACGACCTCAAGCCTACCCGTCACCTTCCTTGGGCTTCAGTGTCCCCTTTCGTGAAGTAGAGAAGATAGAGTAGCTAGGTCAGGAGGTCTTAAGCCACATCTCTGAAGGCCTGAAAGTCACATAGAACTTCCTGCTCATTGATGTGTGTGGGGGAAGAACATCCAAAGCTTCTGTCTCATTCCTGAAGGGGACTCGTGACCCCTGAATTGTCCACCGTGACCCACCTAGGGTGCTCTCTGGACTGCTGCCCTGTCCTGTCGGGCATTCTGGGACGCCTCGAGGCCTGAGGGGAGAAGAAGCGCTCCCCAGAGAGCTAATTGCTGGGGCCCCTGCCACTCAGCAGCCTCCCAACTGCCTTTGTCCCTCCCCACTGTCCTGCAGGTGTCAGGTGATATCCAAGTGGTAGCTGCTCAGCCCCGGGGCCTGTTGTCCTCTCTGATGGCTCTAGCAGCCCAGCCCACCTCCCTGCTTCCATGATGGCCCCATCCTGTCACAGCTGGAGTAGAACCCCAGTCGCTCATGATCCCAACCGGACCTGGATTCTGCCTGCCTCTTTGGTGTCCTCTTCTCCCATCAACCTCAGTGCCTGAGAGCCTCCACCCCTTCGCTGTATACCTGCTGGTCTGTGCTGATCCCCCTGCCTGGAGCACTCCTCCCACTTCTTCCACTGCCTGGCTTTGCCTTCGAGTCTCAGCTCCACGTCTGCTTCTCCAGGAAGCATCCTGAGACCCCCATCTGGCAGCGTCCTCTCGCTCTGTTGTCCTCCACCAGGGCAGCTGGTCTGTTTTTCCTTCATCATACTAATCCAGCCTGTAATAAAATAGGAAGGGGATGTTTTCTTCCCTGTGAAGATGTCAACTCGCAAAGGAAGGAACTGAGTCTTATGTATCACCCTACCTGACTCATGGTAACATTGAACAAATGCTTAAGTGGCTGAAATTAAAATGCCAAGTGCTGGTAAGGGTGCAGAACAGTTGAACTCTTATACATCTGAGGGGTATGCATCGTGGTACAACCACTTTGGAGAACACTGGGTTGTTTTTATAAAGCTACATACACACTTAACAAATGACCCAGCAGTTCTATTCCCAGAACCTTACCCAAGAGAAATATATATACCTACACAGAGAGTTGTACATAAATATTGGAGACTTATTCACAGTGGCCTCAAATGAGAAACACACCAAATGTCTATCTAGGACAGGGGAAAACTGCCTCATCCTCAGATGCTGGAGCACAAAGAGCTCCCAAGAGGCAGTTGAGAGGACCCACCTGAGTCTCCTGTGGTAGGGCAGCTATTGTGTGCTGGTAATGTGTGGTTGGAGTGGATGAGAGGTGGGCTTGTTGGGAGGGGAGGTGGTTATTATCTTGGGGACCCAAAAGTTAAGACATCTTCAGGATCCAGCCAGGCTCAGAAGTGTTCAGCTGTTTTGCAGAGACTCACAATTTATTACCGCTGGGCTTGCAGTCTCTCATCCCAAGTGGATGCTTGAAACCATGGATAGGATTCAAACTCTGTGCAATTTCCCATTCTACATACAGTCACAGATTTAATGTCTACTCCATCTTAACCATGCACTCAACGTGGACGGTGGCCCCAACTTTTACTGTTTGAGGTGGGATGGCAAAACTGGCTTCTTTCATCTTCACAGATTCCTGGATAGAAGATTCATTCTTGTCATGATCAGCATAGGACTTTTTTCCTCTTATTTTCCTCTTATTGTGTTAAGAACTTTCACCTTTTTATTTATAGCAAATATGTTGTGGATTTTCTTTGGCCTAGCTTGCAATTTTGGGACACTAGTCAGGAAAGAAGGGTTACCTTCTTCTTCTCCTGTGGGACTTCACCAGTCTGCTGACCGGGATGGCTACTGAGTGATTGGCAGGAGGGTAGTGTGTACAGTGTGGATGCCCTGGACGAAGGGGTGACTAACACTAGGGGGACACAGCAAGACTTTTTAGGATTCCAACATGCTATTCATTTTCTGCTCATTTCTGAAATTTTCTATTTAGCCACTTAGCATTCCAATTATTTAAATACAAGATGACCAAAAATGGCATATTTTTTCATTAATTTTTATAAGATAACAAGAAATATAAAAACAACAATTTTATCAAATTTATTCAATACAGAATCAAATATTTGAAATGACACGTGCCCAAGTGACGCCCAGAACCAGGCCCGGGAGATAGCTCAGCAGCATGAGTGCTTGACTGGCAAGTGTGAGGTCCTGAGTCCAATCCCCGGTACCGTAAAATAAAAAACCCTACCACTACCAAGTGACATCCAGGGTAAACTGTTAAGTGGTTAATATCTTTACAGTACAGTTGTCGTAGGTAACTGAAACCACATATAAGTGAAAGTGGCTATAATCACGTTGCATTTACATAATTATGTACGTGATACTATCTTCCCTTACCCACACATGAGAGCCCCAAGAAGACAGAGATTTTGTCTTTTTGGCCCTGCTTATAATAGCCAGCAAGTGCAGTATCTGTCTCCGAGTGACTCAGAGCTCAATATTTAGGGCAGCTGAGTCTACTTGGACTGGAGGAGGAATACACAGGCAGAGTGCAGGATGCGGGGGGCGCGTCCCTCGAGTCAGCAGAGGCTCGCGGGGCTCCGTGTGCCTGGCCTGAGACTCGCCTGGGAACCACCTCTTGGAGGACCTGGCCCTGGGGCCGCCTGTGCAGGCAGGATTCTTGCAAAATGCCAATTAAGGCATTTGACCCAAATTTGGATAAAAGCCTTTTTCCTGTGTCAAGTTGAGCTAATTATATACATTTATTCATAATTTATGAGGCCTGGTAAGTGGGAACAATCAAGGAAAAGGCCTGGGCAAAACCTATTTCTCTTTGGTGTCATGTTTGCTTTTTTTTGTTCTCTCAGACAGGTCCCACCCCGCTTTCCCGGCCACGAACACCACTGTTTTCATTCTTGGCAGCATCATTGTTTTGTGTCATTACTGTGAGCTGACATTTATTGAGCACTTAGTGGGCAGGCTGTAAATCGCCTTTTTTGCTCTTAGCCCTGTGAGGCAGGAGGTGGCGTCCCATTTTACAGAGGAGGCTATTGGCTTTCAGAGGGGAAGGGACTTACTCAAAGCCTCCAGGTTGGGGAGCAGGGGTTTCGGCTCCCATCTGCCAGGTCCCCAGGCCTCCCTCCTCGTGTCTATGGCATTCTACCACTGCTGCCACCGTGTCAGCTCCAGACTCTCTCAGCCTTTCTGTGGTGACTGTTAAACTGAGGAGACTGAGTGACAAAGTGCTTGGTGCCTTCTGATTCAGGAGTTCTGGGATCGGCCCAAGACTTTGCATTACTGCTGCCCCAGCAGGAGCCCTGTGATGCTCCCAGAAATGGTGGCTCAGATGGCATTACTCTTGCCCCACTCCCACTGTCCCGTGGTGGTGTGACCTACGGGGCCTCTTCCTGTGTGTTTGCATATGTGTTATCCTGCACCAAGAAATGCTCAGCCCGGTTGTTCTTTCATTCTCTTCGTACATGTGGGATTGTATTCTGCGACTCAGCTTTTTATTTGACTTGTCTTGGAGATGATCCTCATCTCTGCTTCATTCTTTTCAACAGCATAGTAGTAGTTCTTGATACTGATGTGTTATAGCTTTCTCTGTCAGTGAGTGGTCTTCTACCCTGGAGATATTAAAAAATAACCCTCTAAATTCCCAGGGAACATGGGTTTTTATTCAGAACCTTATAATCATTCAATAATGTCAGCCATCATTATTGCTGTATTTGGTTTCATTTGAATATTAAAGGGTGCTTAAGCTTGAAGAAATCCTCTTAAGGGTGACAGTTGCATAAAGGAGTAATTCTATTTACAGATTCTAATAAAGTTGTCACCAAACTAGTTCCAGTAAGAGAAAAGGGATGCCATGTAGGCAGAGCCTTGAGGAATGTTTAGGAGTACACAGAGGAGAAGAGAGGGCACAGGGGATTTGTACTGGTGGGGCCTGACTCAGCCATGGGCTTCAGATTGTAAGGGGTGGGGCTGGTCTTACATCTGTTGTCACTTGGCACAGCAGGGCCTTGCCCAAGGGTCCAGATCTGCAGTGTTATGAGTATGAGGGCCTGTGCTTGCCTCCAACCTCACTCGGATCTGATCTGCCTCCTTCCTTCCTGTCTCCTCAGGGTGGGGAATCCGGACAGGAGCATCTCTGTGCCGACTTTCCCGAGCTCGACCTCTCCCAGCTGGACACTGGCGACTTTGACTCAGCGACCTGCTTTGGGGAGCTGCAGTGGTGCCCGGAGAACTCTGAGGTGGAGCCCAGCCAGTACAGCCCCGATGACTGCGAACTCTTCCAGGTAGGTGCCCGCCTCAACCCTGCCCTGCGTGCCTCTCTCTGCCCTCTCCTCCAGCTTCTGTGTTTGCTCCTCCAGGCATCTCTGCACCCACCCAAGCTCTTGGGACCCTGCTTCTTGTTTTGGGTCTGCACATGACCTGGGGTACCTCCCATCCCTTGCTTGGCCCAAGGCATCACCTGTAGGGATGAAGGGCTTGGATAAGCTGACCCTTCTAAGCCTTCTTGGCAGAACCAAGCTCCTCGTGGGCGGTGGGGCTCCAAGTTCTCTCTTCCCTGTATGCCTCATCAAATCCCAATCCTTCCCTGTGAGGCAGGCATATTTATCTCCCCATTTTACAGATAAGGAAACTGAAGCTGGGAGAAGTTAAGTTATATGCTTTGAGCAATTTGCCTAGCCAGTGGCTAACCTAGAACCAAATCCAGTCTGCTGTCTCCTGAGTAGGATGGAGAAGGATTCACATCCCGGAGCACCTGCTCTGCTGTAGGACTGTCCCTGTGTATACTTATTAATTCATTTCCTTCCCTTAATGTCTCTCAGTTGTAGACATAGTTATCCCTAATTCCAATGGAAGGTTCTTTGACACGAGACAGTGCCCCACACATGTGGACCCGTTTACTCCCTGCACAGCCTTCATGGGTGCGGTTTCCTCTGAGCTTGGAAAGCGATGATGCCTGGGGTTTGCTTCTAAAGAAAGCAAGCTGAGTGTACTCTGTGTGTGTGTGTGTGTGTGTGTGTGTGTGTGTGTGTGTGTTGTGCAGTGTGCAGAGCAAGAGACAAAATAAGATCAGCTGTGGAGAAAGTTGGCCAGTGGGTATCTGCATTCATTTCTCATTTTTTAAAAAAAATTTTTATTGAGAAATAAATATGAATGAGACAGTTTCACAGCTGATTAATAGGACAGTTTTGATAATCAGTACACTGTACATTGTTATCTTCTTAGTGGTTATCCATGGTACAAGAAGCAGACAGGATATCCTGTCCAAACACTGGTAGTACACCTCTTTCTTCTCTTTGAATTAAGCGAAAGTAGCTGTAAATTTATCCTATTTTGTATATATAAATACAAAATGATACAGTAATATATGTAGGAGGAAAGGAAGATGATAACAGTAACTTATTCTCCATGAAAAAAGTGTATGATCTGAAAATACAGAAAATAATGCATAAAAGGCAAAAATGTTCATAGGTGGTGAATCTGAATAAAGAATATTGGAGAATTCTTTGCCCTAAAAAAATAAATAAATACAAAATGATCATTCCTTTGTATCATTTTTTTATTGTCTGTCAGAGGTGAATATTCTATTGGCATCTAAATACTATAGGTGTTTGAATTCAACTAAACAATCTAACACTGTCTAGCAGTCTATAATATTAGTGGGTTGTCCTCAGAAGTTATTGACTTGAGCCTTTTACAGCTCATCGTATTAATATGGCTTTACTTTATATACCTCATTTTTATACTTTTCTGCTGGATGGTTAAGACCAAGATATAGCAAGATCTATGTAACAAGAAATGTAACTTTTGTATCTGATAAGGTCAGCCAAGTACTCTCAGGATTTTCAGCCAAGTACTGTCAGGATTTCATTTCTCCCTTTGAACTGTTCTCCCTGCATCGGGCTTGGGGGCAGAAACCGCAGCTGCCTGTGCCTGTGTAGCAAGGTAAGGACGTGTCGTGTGCCCCCTGTCGTGCTGGCTCACCACAGTGTCATCTCAGGTAATCCTCCCAACAGAGCCTATCAGTCCTTCTGGCTCGTTGAGGCCCTGTGTCCGGCACTGTGTGCATCAGTGTATGTCACCATCTGGAGCAAACAGAAACAGCAGCAGCCACTTGGCTTGGGCCAGAGCACACAGGGAAATACCCAGGAACTGGAAGCTCTGCAGACTGGTGGCCAGCCAGGAAAGACCTCCAGAGCAATGGGTCCCAGCTGTGGGATGAGGAGGCAGCCCCAAAGTCCAGAGGCGAGGACCGGAGCGCTCCAGACAAAAGGAGAAGGGGGCAGAGCAGTAAGCCAAGAGAAAGGTGCTAGGAGGTAAGGTCAGAGCTGCACGGTCTCTTGTGGTTGTAGTTCTCCTGGGACTAGTGCAACCTGCAAGTCTTGTGTTAGGGATAACCCATTTAACAGGTGAGGAAAGTGAAGCTGGGAAAGATGAAGTTCCTTGTCCAAAGTCACAAACCCAGGAAAGGTGCAGGGCACTAACTGAGGATCCTAAAGCCTCACTGCTACACTGAACCCTTGGCCAACCCTGGAGGAGTCAGAGGACGGGGCTCTGGCTCTGGCTCCATCCGGGTCTTCTATCTCCTTCCCTGAAGAATGGGCTGGTGCTTCCATAGTGTTGCTGCCTCCCTCTCAGAAGGCTGGCTCCCTGAAGCTGTTTGCAGGCTATGAAGATCTAACCTAGAGGAAGCATTTGTATGCTGCCTGGAGCATCTCCCCAAGAGGCCCTGACCCCATATACACACATACTCCTGGCCAGACCACCCCTGCAGCTCTCTGCCAATGTCCTGCTCCTGCATGGAATGGTTTCAGCCCCAAGTGAATCCAGTGCAGCCCCTAGGCTCCCAGCCCAGAGAGGAGGATGACCCTCCGTCCTTCAGGGCCTGCACACCTCAACCTAAGCCTGCTCTGCCTCTGCTACACACTGATGCCACTGCTGTGTACATGGCAGTGTGGTCAGGGCCTGCACTTTCCTCTTGGCCCAGCAATTGTGAACTCTTTTTTGCAGTCCACGCTGTTTGTGGTGTCCAGTACTGTCAGGGTCTTGGAAATCATTGTCCTGTGAACAAAGTCTCCAGGCCCAGCTCTCATGTTACCTCCTCCTAGAGTTAGCTGGCTGGCTGCTTCCCCTCCTGAGCTCCATCTCAAATGTGTGTGTCCCTCGCGTTTTCATCATCTCTGGAGCTCCCCCACATTATAAGGACTCAGTTTGCATTTGTGAAATAGGGGTGTCAATTGAAATCTTCTCTTTGTTGTCAAGGGCCAGAAATGACTCATTCCAAAGCCTTGAGCTGAAGGCCAGGGGGCCCAGGTTCTGATCCTCCTGCTGCTAGCTTGGATAGTCTCCTTGTGGCATCACTGGGAGTCGAGGGTTCTGACTGCTTGTGTCAGAGGAATGTTCTCACAATTGAAGGTCATCATTGCCGTAGGCAAACTAAAAGAGTGGAGGTTATAGTTATCAGGGTTGACAACATTTGGGGTAGCAGGGACATTTTTCTGTGTGCTCCGGAGTTCTTAGGGCCTGGGCCCAGTAGGCACTTAGCAAGTGTTTCTAGGCTAAGCGGGTGTTCGGTTTGTTCAGTGCTCTGTGAGCTTGGGCGATGTGAAGGTGAAGAAGGAATGTGGACTAGATTAGTGACTTAGGCTGTGGAGGGCAGTGGAGGAGAGTCATTGTGCTGTCTAGATTCTAATGAGACCGTAGACTTTCTCCCAGGAGAATGAGGAAGAGAGCAATTTCCCAAGCTTCTTGTGCCTCCACAAAGCCTGCTGGACAATGAAGGATTTCTGAGTGTGTTTTCAGCCCCGGTGATCTAAATCTACTATTCTGTGCCATTCCTTCATGGCATGAGGAGTCCTCCGAATGAAGCTGTTTCCCTCAGATTCCTTGCAGGCTTCTTCCTCCAGCTTGAGATCAGCTCAGGAAGGTTGGGGGTGGGGCCGAGTCTATTAATATCCCTTCCTCAGCTGATTAACTCTCCATTAATTTGCACTCCGTTTCTGAGTGGAGCAGGGGGAGCCGAGCTAATGGGTGTGGGGAAAGGAGAGGGCGGCCCGCTCCCTGGGAGACAGTATACTGGCACCTGCAGGATGGTGCCGAGGGAGGGCGCAGGCTGGGTGGGCAGGAGGAACTTTCCTCCCTGCCACTTAGCACCTCTTGGCCCTCTGGAAGTTGTGCTAGTGCTGAGCTGCCCAGGGAGGCAGGAGGAGGAGGAGAAGGTCTTTTGCTAATCCCTTTTCCCTTCACCCAACCTGTTGGGAACGTCTAGACTTCTCTGCTATTTGTGCTCATTTAGCCCAGTGCCTGGCACTCAGTAAGTCCCAGGGGCTCATCCTCACCCTCATGCCTTGACATGCTGTATGACCTTGACAGTTCTCCTTCCTGGGGCCTCAGCCCACTCCTGCACAAAGAACGGCACCTGGGGTTCTTTACAAGTGCTGGCTGTGATGGGTTGGGAGCTGTGGCCTGTGGTTAAGAGAGATGCTGATGTGGAGGGAACCAGTTGCACCCTGGCGGATCCATCAGCAGGGCTCTGTATACAATGGTGGGAGTATGTGTGACATGTATTTGGCAATGCTGGTCACTACCTGGCCCTGAGACCCTTCCGGCTCCGATAGGCATGATAATTTGTGATGTCCCTGAGAAAGAGCAAAGGTTCTCATTCCACCCACCATGAGTGATGTCATTTCTGGATGGCTTCCCTCTAGAATCCAGTCTTTGAGACGCTTGCCCAGTTTCCCGCCATTCGCCATTGTTCATTGTCTGCCTTATCCATTCCTTTGCTCAACCACTCTGCGGCTGCCCACACCCCAGGCACGGAGTGGGCTGCTCCCATCAGGAGAGATGGCCAGGGCTCAATCTTCCCATTGTGTGGGTAAGGGAGCAAGGCTTATAGGAAGGACATGACCGTCCCAGCATCACTCTGCGGCAGAGCCTCTCACGGGCCCCTGAGCCCCACATTCCACGATCTTGACCCGCATCAAGTTAAGGAGATCATTGTGGAAGCACAGGGTTGAAGTCTGGCATGAGGGTTTAGGAAGACTTGGGGTGGGGGCAAGGGGCAGCCAAGTGAGCCCCCACTGCATTCTAAAGCCAGAGTCCATGGGCCTGATCTTCCCAGGGATCCCCATCCCCCCAGTGCCTGGGTCGGGTCCAACCAAGATCTTCTTTTTGACTTTTCTTTTATTCTTAGCTCTGTTCTAAAAATTACAAATGTGTTTGTTCTCCTCTCCCCATGTCCCCCCTTTTGAGTTACTCAGCTGCTGTTCTGACTGCAAGGCCTGGAACAGATTTAGTCCAACAGGCTGTCACGAGATGTGGATTTCAGATGAACTTCCTGAAGAAAGGATAAACAGCCTGACCTGGGATGGGAAAGTATGCTGTGGAGGCATCATGTGACGGCATGTGCTTCTGCCAGAACAGGCCCAGGAGCCCAGGGTTACTGGTTGAGGTGCCTGTCCTCCCCTAGAAGCAGCGTGATCTCTGCTCTGGGCCTCTGGCTGAGGGCCGGGAGACTGGGAGTATGTATGCTTATCCTCCCTGCAGGGAGCAAAGCATCTGGGCTCATCTCTGCTTGTCTCAGACCTGGCTCTGCTCATTACTTGCTAGGTGACCCGTGGCAAGTTGGTGAAACCCTGTGAACCTGTTTCTTCATCTTCCAAGTGGACGTCAGGGCAGAACTCCCCTTACGGGGATGCCTGGGAGGGTCACTGAGGTGATACTGATTAGGTGCCTGTCTCTCTCTTGCTAGGGCTCTGTGACCCAGGCCTTTACACTGGGTGTCCCTTTTCCTGGGTTTCTGTTCCTTAGCCCTCAGGCTGGCCAGTGTCTCAAGCCAAAGGTGGGATGTGAGTTTATTAGTTTTCCCATTGCTGGATGACATACCTGCTTCTTATGGTTTTGGGTTTTGAGTTTGGCTTATGGTTTTGGGGGATTCAGTCCATGGTGTGTGGCTCTAAGGGAGAAATATCTTGACAGAAGGGTCTGGCAGAGCAAAGCTGCCTAGTGTATGGCAGCTGGGAAGCCAAGCAAGGAGCTGTGCCCGTGAGGAAGGGGAGAGAGACCAGATATAAACCCCAAGGTCATGCCTCTGTCACCAACCATGATGCATCAGAAGTGTGCTTTATTATCCCCTAGGCAGCTTCTAAATTAATAAAGTTGACAGCTAAGCTTAATTGTCACACAACTGCTCAGAGAAGGCTTTCTTGGCCACCCAGGTGACCTTTCTTTTCTCCACATTCCTCTTCTCCATCCAAGTCATTCTTCTCTTTACCTCCTTGCCTTTCCTGTGCTTTACAGTGAGCTTTTTTATTCCTTTGACTCTACTGCCACTGGAGGGCAGGGCTTGGGCCTCTTGGCGTGCTGCGTCTCCAGTGGCAACAAAAGCCAGGGGAAGAGCAGCGCTGTGGGAGATGGGAGGGGGCAAAAGGTGAAGGGAGAATTGCTACCACCATGTCATCCTTGCCATCGGATTGTGCTAGCCTATGTCATCACAGTAGCAATGAGTGCTCGTTCTGAGCCAGGTACCACTTCCTAAGCATCTTCTCTGTGTTAACTCATCTACTTAGTGAAGCCCTACAAAGTAGGTGCTCTTATCCCATTTGACAGGTAAGGAAACTACTTTCCTAGAGACTCATGCTTGGGAAGTTTGAGCCCTGGGATTCAAACCTAGCTCCCAACCTGAGTCCTACAGGAAAATGATAGCTGTTTCATTACTGCCCAACGTTGTTGTTATCATGGTTGGGCCCTGAGGGTCCAAGGGGTTGGGGTCTCTAAGGATACCAGTAGCAGGGGTGGGGAGCAACCTCCATCCTTTGTGGAGAAGGCAGATATTGCTCATATAGACAACTTTCTACCTGAGGTCATGCTTTAGTGAGTAGCAGAGCCAAGACTGCGATTCCAGTGAAGGGCCTGATCCCTCACCTCCCTGCAGGGTTGACAACACATGTATTGGACATCTGCTGACCCAGGCACATTGAGCAGATCTGGGACACAGGGGCAGAGAAGAACTTAGGGCAGAAGGGCGGTATTGGTGGAGCAGGGTGGGCAGTGCTAGTTTCCCTGTGCAAAAAGCTGGCCTTTGTCCATGCCAGTGGGTAAACTCCTGGATGTGGAACTCCTGGCCTACACATATGATTTTTTTAAAATTTAAATAAATGACCAGGTGACCTTCAAACGAGGTCAGGCCAGTTTGCAGTCCCTCAGCACAAGTCACGTTTTATCCATGTGAAAGTACCTGGGATATTCAAAAGAACACAGAAGGGTGGCTTTCTGAGGAGAGATGTCAGCTCTGCCCCTCTGCCTCTTTCTTCTAGATTGACAGTGAGAATGAGGCCCTCCTGGCAGCACTCACCAAGACCCTGGACGACATCCCTGAGGATGACGTGGGACTGGCTGCCTTCTCAGCCCTGGATGAAGGAGATACGCCATCGTGCACCTCAGCTTCCCCTGCCCCCTTGTCTGCGCCCCCCAGCCCTGCCCCAGAGAAGCCCGTGTCCTCAGCCTCTGAAGTGGATGAGCTTTCACTGGTAAGAACCTGTTTCTGACTGAGGTAATGGTAGTGGCCTGAGATTGGGTGCAGAGCCACCAGCTTGGGTACCACTAGGCTTGCTGTGCATGGCGGCACCATGGCTCCTGGTAGAGAGCCTAGACCAGAGGTGGGAGCCACCTGGCAGCAGGAGGAGGCGCCACCTGGCAGTGGGAGGAGGCGCCTCCTGCATTCTGCAGGCTCCTTGGGGTTTCAAAGGTTGACTTCAGTCATGTGTTAAATCCTTGAAATTGCATGCAAGTGTTTTTCAAAAGAGTATATAGACACGGTAAAAAGCCAAGCAGCAAATGTGGACAGTTAAAAGCAAAACCTCCTTTGCACTCTCAAGATCACTTTTTTCCTTCTCCAGGGGTAACCATGGTTACGGATCTGTTCTGTGACTTTCCTCTTCACCTCCTTTGTTTGTTTGTTTGTTTGTTACTACAAGAGGGAGCCTGGGTTACATACATCTTGCTTTCTCATTTACTTCTGTGAGTCTGGGGAGTTCTTCCAAATGGAAAGCCTCATCCTTCCTGTTGACTGCGTAGTTGACTGTAGTTATTTACACCATACCCCTGCTGGCAGGTCGGTTTGTTGTTTCAATGCCTGCGTTGTCACAAACAGCGCTTAGTCCCTGTGCACTTGCAGGCTTTGCCCCACATCAGTGGATGACCTAGAAGTGGAACTCCAGGTCTATACACATGATTTTTCAGTTTGGACAGATCCCAGCGAGGTCAGGCAGGTTCGTACTCCCCCAGCACAAGTCCAGTGCCATCTGCGTGACAGTACGTGGGATGACAAATGGGATGCAGAAGAGCAGCTTTTTGGGGAGAAGATATTGGCTGTGTATAGACTGTAGGGAAGTCAGGACCTCGCGAGGTGCTAAAGGCAGTGGCTGATGCTCCTGAAGCTCAGCACTGTGGCTGTGTAGGCCAGCTTGGCATGGCCTCCTTGGGCTCCTCCCTCACCTTCTCACCTTGGGCCTGTGGGTGCTGCTGGGTACTGGTGGGACTCAGCAGGGAAATCAGATCCTGTCAGAGCAGGGAGAGATGGAGCTAGAAAGGTGCTCCTTGACTGTCAGACCCAACTCTGGGGAAACTGGGATAGGGAACATTTTTTCCACAGTCACATGGCAAGTTGGTGTGCCAGCAAAGATTCAAAGCCAGGAGTTCAGACTCCTGGTCTAGCGCCGTTTGCTTTTCCTCCTGTAGCCTTCAAGGTCCCAAAGCAGTGGGAAACATTTCAAAACACCTACATGGGCTGGCATGGAATATGTGGTCTCACATCCTGCTCAGGGGGTCCTGCTTCCTTCCAGACTGGACTCAGTCCACCTAAGTGGGGCTAGTGGGTCCCTTAGGCACCCACCCTCTCTTACCATCTCTCTGACGTCATGTCCTCACCTACCAATTAGGGTGAGGTGGCAGGGATAATGGTCACTGCCGCAAAGGGCACTCAAGACTAGTGCAGGTGATATATGAGGGGCACTTAGAACAGTGTCTGCCTGGCACATAGACTTGCTCTGTGCAACTCAAGCTAAGTCATTGTTTTGGCATGACGATCCGTGGTAGTAACAAGGAGAATTCTGAGGGCCATCTCTTCACAAAGCTTTGCAGAGGTACCAAATTTGGGTGAGACAAAAAGCGGCCCCTGCTGGTCGAAGGTTGTTTGCCTCCTCTCCCTTGGACTCTTCTTCCTTTGTGCCCTTGAAGGCTCTTCTGCTTAGGCCCACAGGAAGCAGACTCCCAGCATGCCAACAGGTCTAGAGCAGTCTGCTAAGTTACTTAGACCCTGCGTCTCACAGAGGGCCCCAGGGCACCTGCCATGGACTTTAGAAGGACATTGGCACTCTGCATAGTTGTGCATTTCTCTGACACCAGCAGCTTCTTTTGTTCTCTTAGAGTAAAAAGAAACAAAAAACAAAACAAGGTTCAGACCCAGTCATCGCATCTCCCTGCCCCACGCTCTGCCAGTGGAGAAACCAAGGCCAGAGGAGGAAGTAGCTTGCCAGGGCCTCACACAGTGAGTGGGCTGAACCAAGTGGCCAGGTCTCTTTTCTCTAGTCCAAGAGCCTTTTCCTATCCAAATTCAGGGTGTATGTTAACTTGGGGTTCATGTGCAGTAGGGGGGCCTTTAGCTGTTTAGGAGAGTGGGGCATGGCCTTGCTCTGGTTCCTGGGCCTGTGCTCCCTGAAGGTATGGGGAGCAGTGCCCAGAAAACACTTGATGCTGCAGTGAGAACCCCCTATGTTTCTTGCCATATTTTCATCTCTGGCCTTGAGGAATCCTGGGTAGAACCTCTAGCTACATCAGCTGGGAGGCACCGTGCACGTGCCTGCAGGATACAGAAGCAGGCAAGCTTCAACAATTTCTATAGAAAAATTATCTTGGTGGGGGGAAGGCAGGCAAAAGTTTAGCATTATTCTACATGTGCAAAAATGACTGCGGGACTGAGGTAACATGGACCTGGGTCTTGCTACGTGGTGAAAGCCTGGCTCATGATGGGCTCACAAGAAAGCAGTTAGTGCCAGTGGCCTGTGAGAGCCACAGAGACACCTAGGATGGGAGGGAGATGCTTTTTAAAAACAACAACTAAGTTTAATGTTATGTTTTCGATCTACACAATGATAACATTCAATGCAGGGAATTTGCACCTGTAGGTGACATATCTTGATTCCTCTTTTTTCCCTCTTCCCTCTTCAGCCCATCTCCCCCCTCCTTACTTACAAAAGGTTTGTTTCCTTTTTTCCTTCTTGTCATTTTTCTTTTCCCTTCTTTCCCTGCCCCCCATCATTCCTGTTCCCATTTAAACATTTTCCTTTTTTTTTGTATTTAGTACAGGGTCTACAGCATCTCACTACACAGATTGCACTCCTGTGATCCTCCTGTTTTCAGTCTCCCAAGTGCTGGGATTACAGGCTCACGCCACCATGCTCAGTCTCGGTCGCTGTCTCAGTGAGCCCCGGGGGTAGGGCTGCCATGGAAGGCTAGGGGATCAAGTCCCAGGCCCTGCATCTGCTTAAGCAGGTGCTTTTATCTGCTGAGCTATCTGGCTGGCCCAACATTTTCTTTTGGTTTCCCAATATCCATAATATGTTTTGGGTCTTACTTACACTTTTGGTTTCTCACACTAGGAGAAATAATGACATTTCCACATGGGTGTCTGATTTATTTCACTTAAGAGTATTGTCTCAAGGTACATTTGCTTACTTAGCAATCTTTCAAGTTTATCCTTTTTTGTGTCTCAGTAGTACTCCGTTGTACATATTTAAAAAAACCTTCTTAACCATTCATTGGTTGATGGACATTAGGGCTGTTTCTAAGATTTGGCTATTGCAAACTGTGCTGCTATAAACATGGATGAGCATATATCACCGTGTGATATATGTGTCTGATGCTTTTAATTCTTTCATGAAGATCAAGAAGGGGAATAGCTTGGGTCAAATGGAACCTCTAGTTTTAGTTTTTTGAGGAAAAGAGAAAGATGCCTTTAACTGTCCACTCGTTAGTGTTTGTGGTAGGTAGACAGATACAGATTGAACATGTATGTGTGTTACTTATTTAGTTTAAGAAGTTTATTTTTACAGGGTCACTATGAGTGAACCAAAGGAAATTAGCTAGAATTCACTTCAGATAATCATTTTGGTACCTAGCCTCACAGGATTGCGTGTGTGCGCATGCGCATCTGTGTGTGTGTGTGTGTGTGTGTGTGTGTGTGTGTGTATACACCAAAAGTATATGCAGAATGTCCTGATGGTAGGTCACCAGCTATTCTCTTGGGCTGCTGACTGAGAAGAGCTTATGTTTAGTGTGATGTTGGTGAGTGTTTGAGATCGCTCATAATGCGCTTTCTGCACTCGTATTGGGGCATCATTCTGGGGCATCAGATGCCCTCACCACAGTCCCATGGCTCTAGGTAAGGTGTGATCAGCCTGGAGCTGGCTGTGCTCCTCATCCCTGACCACACTTTGCCCAGACTCTCTCTGTCTTTGCTACTCCCCAGCTGCAGAAGCTCCTTCTGGCCACATCCTCACCACTGTCATGCTCTGACCCTCAGAAGGAGGGGACCACTTGGCGCCAGGCTGGCCTCAGATCCAGAAGTCAACGGTCGTGGGTCAAGGTATTTATGCTCCTGCCCAGAAGTTAGCCCAGGCCTTCGGTGGGCACCCCATGGCATAGCCATCAACTTGAGCAACGCGTGGCAGGTTCAGTTCACGTTAGTCTCTGTCCACACTACTCACACAATCATAGAGCATTGTCCTGGGCTCTGCTTCTTGAGATACAGCTTCGTGTGGGGTTCTAAAAAGAGCCCCGGATTTCCTCACACTTGAGGCTTTCAGTTGCCAATAGACCTTAACACACTTTGGACAGAGTGGCCTGCTCGGGGTTTGTATTAATGAGCTGATAGAAGGAGGCAGGATCCTCTCTGATTGTAGAGGCTGCCTTCAATACAATGTTGAGATTTTTTGGAGTGCCATTGGCAGGTTTGGAGTTCTGGACTCCAAGGATCCAAGCAACTGTTTTTGGGGCCTCATCTCCCAAGCCTAACAAGGAGGGCTGACGTGGGTGATGCCCAGGGGTTCGTGCTCCTTGTGGTTGTGCCCATGCTTGCGCCTCCTGCTGTGTACATGCCTATCCATGTGCTCCTGCCCATTTGTCCCCAACTGGCCTCCTGAAGTACAGCCTGCCCTCCTGCTTTCCATTGTGCAGTAGCTGAGCCCCTCGTTGGGCCAGTTCTGTGCCCTGTGGGATGCTAGCAGGCTTCTAGGCGGGGCGCCACAGCTAAGAGGAGGAGCCGCAGGACAAGGCAGCACTGGAAGAGAAGCCTCTGCGCAGGCACACGTGGGCAGGTGAGGCTTCCGAGGGACATCAGCTAATGCCAGCAAGCTGAGGGCTCGGGTGCTGCCCAGGGAGCTGCCCTTTGTTCTGCGAACACTGGGAAGCTACTGAATTTTCCTTTTTCTTTTCTTTTCTTTTTTTTTTTTTAAATTGAGGACTGGACCCAGGGCCTTTACACTGGTCTACTTCCCAGTCCTGTTTTATTCTTTACTTTGAAACAGGTTCCTGCTGATTACCCAAGTTTCCCAGACTGAGCTTAAACTTGTGATTCTGCCTCACGTTCCCAGAGAGCCAGGGTTGGAGGTGCAGGCCAGTGTACCAAGCAGATGGTTTCTTTTTTTATAACAACTGTTCTCAAGTACCACATATATCACGAAAGCTACCTTTGTCTGTTCTTGAGGTGGAGTCTCACTGCCTAGGTTGGTCTGAGCTCCTGGGCTCCAGTGATTCCCCGCCTTGGCCTCCCGAGTACTGGGACAGCTCGAGCCCTGCTAAAGCCACCTATCTTAAATGTATAATTTTGTGATTCTTAGTAAATGTACAGTCCTGTGACCATGACCATACTCCAGCTGCAGAACACATCCCCATTTACCCCAAAGGACCCCAGTGAGCCCATTTACAGTGAAGCTGCCCTGTTTTTAGCCATCGGCAGCCAACAGTGCAGGTCCTGGCCCTGTGTCTGGAGCGTGTGGATGGCACACGGGACGGACCAAGCAGGCTTCTGACAGTGCGTTCAGAAGGCTTTGCAGGGGCCAGTGCCTGGGGGAGACCCGCTGGGCTGGGCATTCCTCTGCTTCTCACTGCCTGAGCACAAGCAGGTGTGGTCTGTGTTGGAAGCTAGGAGCGGAGTGATGCCTGCATCCCTAGGGCCCGGGGCAGCAGCTAGGCCAGCAGGGGCAGAGCTGAGGGAAGGACTGTGCGCCCTCCCACCTCACGCTGGCCTATTTCTCACTCTAGACGGACAGCACCCAGGACAAGAAGGCTCCCGTGCCACAGCCTCAGAGCCGGCGATGTACAGAGCTACATAAGCACCTCACTTCGGTGCCATCCTGCCCCGGGGCAAGAGCCTGCTCTCCAGACAGAGGCCTGCAGCTGCCACTGAGTCCCCAGCTTCATGCCAAGGAGGAAGAGTTGCCCGGGGACGACTGTGCGAGCCCCCAGCCAGCCCCAGCCTCTCACCGGGACCCCGTGACACCGGGCAGGGCAAGCCCCCGTGCCCAGGTTCCTCCGGAGGACACACAGGCCATGGTGCAGCTTATTCGTTACATGCACACCTACTGCCTCCCCCAGAGGAAGCTTCCCTCGCAGGCCCCCGAGCCAGCCCCCCAGCCCTGCAGCAGCCCCTCCAGACTGCTCAGACCCCGGCCTCGGCACCCCTCTAAACCCTCCTGGGCTGAGTTCTCCATCCTGAGAGAACTTCTGGCTCAAGATGTCCTTTGTGATGTCAGCAAACCCTACCGCCTGGCCACGCCTGTCTATGCCTCCCTTACCCCCAAGGCCAGAGCCAGGCTTCCCAGAGACAACCAGGCCTCCCCTGCCCACCCATCCCCAGCAGAGGAGGTGAGGGTCTCAGCTTCACCCAGGAGCTTGGGGCCCAGACCAAGCTTGCGTCCATTGAGGCTGCAGGTGAGAGAGGACATCAGCCGGCCTGCCAACCTGCAGCAGCAGGAGGAAGAGGACGAGGAGGAGGAGCAGGAGGAGGATGAAGAAGAGGAAGAAGAAAAAGAGGAGGAGGAGGAAGAGGAGTGGGGCAGGAAAAGACCAGGCCAAGATCTGCCATGGACCAAGCTGGGGAGAAAGCTGGAGAGCTCTGTGTGCCCTGTGCGGCGCTCTCGGAGACTGAACCCCAACCTGGGCCCCTGGTTCATGTGCCCTGACGAGTTGCTGGTCCCCTCAGCTCACCAAGGTGCTCTGCCCTCACTGCATCCAGCTCCTGAGGCCTGCAACACCGAGAGACAGCTTGGCAGCCCCACAGATGAGGGCAGTGCCCAAGACCAGCAGCTCCTACGGGAACCCCAGATCCCTGCCCTGGAGAGTCCCTGTGAGAGTGGGTGTGGGGACACGGATGAGGACCCCAGCTGCCCACAGCTCCCTTCCAGAGGTAGTTGGAGCCATCGGCCCGCAAGAGGGGCAGGGGTGGGTGCAGCGAGTCCTCGTGACCCCAAGTGTTGTGCAGAGTGGGCAGGGCTCTTCCCTTCTCTGCCTCACCAATCACATCTCTGTGCAGTGAGCTGCTGGGGAAGCCCTCAGGAAAGCATCTGCACCTCCCTGATGTACCCACGGGCAAGGCATTGATTAATAAAAAAGGAGTGGGATGCCTGCCTGTCTTCATGGGGCTTATGTTTCAGGGAGGGAGAGAGGCAGTCGAAACCCAAAGGACGCTGATTACAAATTTGGTAAGTGTCCTAAAGAAGACCTCTAAGGGAGCGTGTAGCTGGACGTCGGCGTATAAGTCCTGCTTCACTATAAGGTTGGACTGAGGATGGTGGTAGGAATGACAGTAATAGTTATCAGTTGTGTACCTGCTGGTCTAAGCCTTCACACAGCTTTTCCCTTTCAGTCTGCATAAGAAGCCTGCGTGGTAGATATGGTGACCACCTCCATGTTAAAATCCAGAAACTGAGACTTAGCTCTTTAGAGCTCAGCCCCATGCTGGGCTGTCCAGCTGCAGCCCCGGGAGCAAGCGCTGTGCACCTGGGTGCTGTGCTCTGCCCGGGGACCTTCTGTGCCCACACACTCTTTCTGTGCAGCCACAGAGCTCCACCTGCCAAGCCCCTAGAGTGGGAGGTGGATTGCACTCGTTCCTGTCCTTCCCTGAGGAGGGCTTAGGGATTGGGTCAGCTGCCCTGACAGTGTGAGGTCTCCTTCCGGGGGAAACATCTGCTTATGGTGCCGTGTTGAAGAATGTTATTTATCTTATTTCCGTTTTTCTTTTTTCTTTTGGTCTTCTTTTCAGACTCCTCAAGGTGCCTCATGCTGGCCTTGTCGCAAAGGTAGATTTTTAAGAAATTATTTTATATTATTCCATAAGGTTTTGTCTTGTTGGATTTGTGAGTTGAAGGTAGAGGGATCTCTGCCCCTGAGCCCAGCCCTGTTCCTAGGCCTCTGCCCTGGTTGTCATCTCCTGATGATAAGAGCTAAGCTCCCTTCAAAGAAAGTTGGTTTTTAGAAGCTGGTCTCTGCAGGCCCAGGGGAAAGAAGGGGAGTGAAGCTCCCAGGATATTTCATAAGCTCTCCTCTTTGGGACCCTGACATGAGTTCTTTTCTCCATGAGGCAAAGCTGGCAGTGTGCATGACTACTCTCCACACCCTCCAACAGAGCTGTCTGTGTGTCCTAAAAGCTGTGCACTTTGAATTTCTCCAGCAGCCAGGGTGAGGGTCCCCTCAAATCCTCCCAAGACCCATGGGAGCAGCACCAAGGTCCATCACAGTATGCCCTTGCCCTCCTTGGATGCTAGGGCAGTGGGAGCCTGCTGCTGACTAGCCCCTTTCCTTTCTGTCCTCCCTGCCCCTCTCCTCAGTGACCCTCCTTTTGGCAAGAAGAGCTTTGAGCAGACCCTGAGCGTGGAGCTCTGTGGCACAGCAGGTGAGCTGGGGGGTTCAGCTGGCGGGGTGCCTTTGGGGAGCTGGCAAGGCCCCCCGGCCACAAGTCTCCTACACCAAACAGCTCCACAGGCAGTGTGGGTGCCTAGTGAGCCTTCACTGCCCCACCCCGCAGGCTGCGCTGGGCACTGAGGTGCGCAGAGTGTTTAGGAGGAAGGTCAGTGCCCTGGGCCAGCCATTCAGCTGCCAGAAATCGGCCCATGAGGTGATAGCAGAATCAGAAATGAAAGACACGGTTCTTTCCTAGAGAAGCCCGAGGTCTTGGGGCAGGGGAACAGATGTACCCTGAGAGCACTGTCTGATATGCACTCACTTCAAAGTGGGAGCAGGAGCTCCGGGAGAACAAGAGGGTTGGGACTGGGCAGAAGTATGGTCTGAGCACCCCTGGGCACCAGGGCAGGGACATCTGAGCTGGTCCTGAAAGATAAACCGGCCCTGGAAGACACAGCAGAGGTGTGCTTTGCGGTAGAGTCAGCATAGGCAAAGACATTGGCGAGTGGAGATTCAGGCTGCGCCAGAGACACTGGTCTCCTGGTCCTGCCCTGCAGTAGAACTGGGGGGTGGGGGGTGGCAGTCGGGAAAGAGCAGTCATAAAAGGACCAAAATGCAGAGGTATTTGGCTTTGGGGAGCCCCAGAGAGAAAGAGATGGGCATTGTAGCAACTTCCTGTGGTACATTAAAGCGAATGCCAAGGTCAGGTGTAGGAAAATCAAGGGCACTGTGGTGGCCAAATCCCATGGGCAGTTTCACTTGTGGTGCCTGCCCTGCTGTACCCCAGGAGACGCCTGAGTCAGGGCTCACTAAATGCTTGCAGGTAGAATAGGAGGAAGGGCCATCCCTAGACTTGGAGGCTTCTGCTGCCATTACCAAAACCACAGAAGGGATGGCAAGTGCTTCTCCTCCCATGCCGGTGCCAAAGAACTGAAGGATTCCCAGGCCACATCCAGGCTCAGGCAGTGAACAGTGCAATGATCCACTAGTGATGCCTGCCATCCATCTGTCAGGAGTGATGGCATGCAACCACTCCTTTACCTCCTTTACCATCCCAAACTAAGATCTTAGTGTCCCTTGGAGAAGAGCTCTGCCTTCCCCTCACTTGTTTCTCCTCTTGCCTGGGCAGGACTCACTCCCCCCACCACGCCACCCTACAAGCCCACAGAGGAAGATCCCTTCAAGCCGGACATCAAGCACAGCCCAGGTCAAGAGACAGCGCCGAGCCTCCCCTCCCCCGAGGCCCTCCCGCTCGAGGCTGCCCCAGGAGCTGCCCATAAGCGGCCCAAGAAGCCCTCAGAGCGAAGTGAGCTCCTGTCCCACCTGCGGCATGTCACAACCCAGCCAGCCTCCCAGGCTGGCCAGAAGCGTCCCTTCTCCTGTTCCTTTGGAGACCATGACTACTGCCAGGTGCTCAGGCCAGAGGACGCCCTACAGAGGAAGGTGCTGAGGTCCTGGGAGCCGTCAGGGGCCCACTTGGAGAACTGGCCCCAGCAAGGTGCCCCTTCTCAGGCTGAGACGCAGGCCTGGAGGAAGGAGGAGGACCATAGCTGTGACGCCTGCGTGCCCCCCAAGGACGGCATGCAACTGAGAGACCACGAGATCCGCGCCAGCCTCACCAAGCACTTCGGGCTGCTGGAGACGGCCCTGGAGGACGAAGACCTAGCCTCATGTAAGAGCCCTGAATATGATGCCTTTGAGGACAGCAGCAGCAGCAGTGGGGAGAGCAGCTTCCTCCTGGAGGAAGAGGAGGAGAGGGAGGAGGACGATGATGGAGAGGACTCAGGGGTCAGCCCCCCTTGCTCTGACCACTGCCCCTACCAGAGCCCACCCAGCAAGGCCAGTCGGCAGTTCTGTTCCCACAGCCACTCAAGCTGTGGCTCCTCATCCTGCCACTCCTGCTCACCAGCTACCCGGAGGAATTTCAGGTATAATGGGCAGCGGGCTGCTGAGGACTCAGTCCTCCTAGGGACAGGGGAGGGAGGATACCAGGGGACTTGCCCTGGAGCTGGGGCTGCATTTTTGTGTGGGGCGAGGCCTGGTGGAGGCTCCTTGAGGGAGATGGGGTTAAGCCCTGGAGGCAAATGTGTGACAGTCAAGGTGGTCCCAAGTCCTCTGGCCTCAGGGGAGTAAGAAAAGCCACTTTTTGGCCATTTGTAGCCTTACATTTCCACAAAGTTGCTCCTTATTATTCATTGTTTTCCATGTTTACGTTTGTCAGTGGAATAGATTTTTACACCAACATAATACAGACCCACATAGTTTAAAGTTTATATAACATCTTGTGAAAGAAAGGATTAGGGTCATTCCTGATTTTTCTACAAAATGGATTAAAGCAGAGATGAAGTTGGTTCCTGTTTCTCAGTGCCGTTGTGTGCTACCCTATAACTTCCTGCAGTAAGAGCTCAGGGCAGAGCTCATGTGTCCAAGCCCATTTGTGCATGCTGCCCTTGCTCACTGAACCAGACAGGAGAGGAAGCCAGCCCACAAGTGAGCCGGGCAGCTAGCAGAAGGCGTAGGACCTTGGCCGATTCGGGAAGCCTGCTCAGTCCTGTCTGGCCTTGAGGACACTATTTCACCCTCAGGGCAGTTAGAGGGGAACGGCCATGTGCCTGGGCGACCGCTAGGTGGTGCTCTTGGGTCCAGAGCAGAAAAACACACCGCCTGGTGTGAGGGGGTGGTGCATTTTGAGAAACTCCTGGGACTCCCCACTCCTGGATGTTTATTGGATGCTGTAAGGGTGAGGTTAGAGGTTTGCATTTCTAATGAGCTCACCAGTGAGGGTGTTGCCAAAGGACCATACTTCGAGATTGAAAATCAGGCACACAGCCGGCTTTTCTTACTAACACGTCAATGGCTCTTCACTGTTTGAAAATAAAGCCCATCTCTCTGTTCAGCATCAATCAGGAGGTTCCTGGGCTTTTCACCAGCCAGTGTTCACAAGCCCTAGGTTGTCTGTTAAGCAAAATGAATTCCCAAACACTGTCTTTAACAGCTTTGCCTATCAAGCCAGAAGCCAGCGAGGCAGATAACGCGCCAACTCTGGGCCAACTCCCTCTTGGGCTTCATTCACTTTTCCCAGGGGCAGCTCCTCTCTGCCAGCCCTCCATGGCCAAGGACCAGTCTCAGCCCCTGGTATGAAGGACACCAATGGCTGTTCTTTCTGCTAGGTGTGAGCACCGCCCAGTGAAGAGGGCTCCCTGCTCCCCTCCAGTGGGCTGAGGTTTTCTCTGAGACCCCTGTGGGTTCTTTTTCCTTCTGCTCTCAGGTCAGATGCAGGGCTGGCCATTTCTTCTCACTGTTATCTCAGTCTCTGCCCAGCTGCCTGGCAGGGCTCAGCGCTTGCCAACCCTCAGCCTTGTCCAGGCAGCTTCTCATCACTAGGAAGCACATTGAGGTTGGCTGAGCAGACAAACCAAACCCAGCAATGCCTTCCAGTCTTCTGGGTTCTGCAGGCAGGAAACGCTGACCAATTTCATTGCAAATTGATGATCTGGTTATTCTGTAGCACTTTAAACTTTGCAATCCATATCCCCTCTGCCTCTATTTTTGTTGTTGGTACTGCAGTACTCAGGACCACTGGACTGGACTCGAACTCAGGACCTCGTGCTTTCCAGGCAGGCGCTGTGCCACTGAGCTCCCTCCCTAGCCGCTGCCACCCTAGTTGAGCTTTCCAGATGCACTTGGCAGGGACATCTGCTCCTCATCCCATGTTATAGATGAGGCCCAGAGAGGTTGAAATAGAAAAGCAGGACAAGCATCTGTGGAGCAGTTCCTGAGCCCACTACTTTACTTATGTGTAGTTTCTGATTTAATCCTTAAAATTTAATCCTTAAAGTAGGTGGACATTGATTATCCCTGTTTGATACATGAAGAAGTGGAGCTGAGAGGGCTTCTGTAACCAGCTGAGCTCACCCAGCAGGGAGGTGGTACAGGCAGGATTTGAACATGGGTTTCCTGACTCAGAGCCTCGCTCTCATGCTCCCGTCCACTCCCTGGAGGCGCAAGGCCCCAAGCCTTGGTGTGGCCAGGGAGCTGCCACCTCTGCAGATAGGAGCTTTGCAGCCCCAGGCAGGGAGCTGTGAGGACACAGCTTGGTGATGTCAGGGCCTGAACTGGTGGAGAACAGCGGTCCTAGAGCTTGAAGACCTGCCTCGAGCTCCGACTTCCTCCATAGGCAAGTCCCAGCTTGAAACTCTGCCTTGGGAATTTACATCTGGAAAATGGGGAAATAGTTTTCCCAGGGTTTATTTATTTTTTTTCCATAAGATCCACTAAGATAATGAAGTAAAAGGGTCCCTCTCTACCCCCACTCCCCACTGACTGCCGTGAAAGGCAAGGCTCCAAAGGGCAGAGTTATAATTAGCAGAGTAGCAGGAGGTGTGCCTCCAGTGCTCAGGCCCAGCGCAGCCCTAGGCTGCCCTCGCGAGGGGAGGTGGGCTGCTGCAGAAGTGGGGTCCAGGGCTTCTGCACTCCAGAAGCCTTTGCTTCCCAGAGCAGTGTAGCTGCCCTCCGTGCTCCTCCCGACAATGAGAGCCTCTCCTCTGCTTGTTCATGACAGGTGTGAGAGCAGAGGGCCGGGTGCGGATGGAGCCCCAAGTGTCCGGCACGCCAGGAAGCGGCAGGAAAAGGCCATTGTAAGTGATCTGGGGCTCCAGCACCCAGACTGAATGGGGCACACAGGAGTGTCAAGAAGTGCTGGACCTGTCAGCCTTCCAGCACTCCTGGCCCTAAGGGATGGTGATTTGCAGAACACAGTTATGTTTCTCATTTCTCTCATTTGAAAGTCACAGGGGCCCCCCACAGCCATCAAAGCTGGCACTATGCAAATGTCAACCATTGGACTGCCCATGAGGTGTGCAGTTGGTGGCAACCTAGGGCTTGGCCTCGACGGCCTGGAGAAGACCAAGAGGGTGGGAAGGAGGGAGCTCACAGCCAGGCTGACTGGGTCACAAGCCAGGCCAGCCACGACCTTCTAGGTGACCTTGGGCAAGTCTCCAAGCTCCCTGAGCCTCTTTACTCATCTGCACACGGGGAGCTGGGTCTTGTGCTTCCTGAGGGGCCCTCCAACTTCACCAGGGCTAAATGGCCAGGAGGACCTGTCATGTCCGTGCCCACAGCCACAGTCCTCTCACAGAGTGTGTCCCAGGCCCTGGCCTCGTGGGGCTCCGCACAGAGCCACCTGCCAAGAAAATCTCCTAGCCAGCCAGCTATCCTGTGTCACTAGGAGGAAGGGAAGGAAGCAGCATGGAAACACAAGAGAACATGGGCTCCCGCTGGCGGGCATAGTGCTAGCCCCAGAGGAGCAGAGCTCTCTGCACGCAGGCCCTCACCCTGAGCTCTGTCACTGCCTCTGTTTAGGACTGAGTCTCCCTCAGTCACTAACTTGCACAGGATGGGCTCAAACTCACCGTCCGTCCTTCCTCAGCCTCCCAGAGTGTCATACCACTGTACCTGGCCATGTTTAGGCTTCTTGCTGTTTGACCAAAGAGGCACAGTCCTAGGCTTTGGGTGGCAGTGATGTGTAAAACAGACAAGCCCCCTCCCCCCATGGTTCTCTCCCATGGAGAGGAAAAACAATGACTTGTAAACGAAGGACTGCACAACGGTATTACAGATTAGGATGAGTGCAATGAAATTAGCATTATGACTAAAATGCCTGTGCTAAGTGATCATGCTTGCGCTGCTGGGAGAGCACATTTACACGGGTGCACGGGGAGAGGTATCTGCAGGGAGCTGGGCCCCAGAGGAGCTGCAGCGCTAGCAAAATTCAGGGTGCTTGTGGGTGTGGGCTTTGTGAGTGCAGGAAGCTGGGAGAACTCAGGCTTTCTCTGTGGAGCTGAACCCAAGTGGAGCATGCTGTGGGACAGCTGTGACAGCTGGTTCTGTCCTCCTGAGGAGCCCAGGCCTGAGTTTTCTCCCCGACACGTAGTTCTTGGGTGTGTGGTGGGAGAGGCTCTGGCTGTGTCCGTGCCCGTAAAAAGTCTGTCCAGACCACAGTCCATCTTGACCCAGCAGTAGCAGCTTTTACCCAGGTCAGAGTACAGATCCCCACGGAGAAGAGGGCGTTCTAGCCGGGGCGTCCGCTCGCTACCTCTGCCACACTGTCCGTGGCACCTGCTGGTAGAGCCGTGAGCTCTCCTGCAGGGGTTTCTTGTCCACAGCACTGTGTTGAGACATTAGCTGCCCCACCCGATCAAAACCAAAGATGTGGTGACTCCAGTAGCCTTACTGGCCCCATCTCTTTAGCTTTCCTTCCTGCCCACTTTGAGCCCCAGGGTAACCTGGCTCCCAACCCTTCCTCAGCAACTCCTAGGTCCACTCCATCACCACCCCCTCAGACTCAGGGTACAAGTACAGACACTGTGGACCATGCAACAGTATCTATGGTAACAGAGGCTGCCCTGTCAGCTGCCTCCACTCATTCCCCTCATGTAAGCAGGCAATTCCTGTGAGGGCCACTTCCCCTCTAGTCCTCAGTGGCCCTGCTGCAGTCAGAGCAGGTCCTCTGGTATAGAGATTGTCATGGTCTTCTCTCTGGCTCTAGCTGTTCAGCCAGGCTTTGGACAAGGGTGAGGACCCCATGGGAACAGTGATGTAGTCCCCCTCTCTCTTCTCTTTTTGAATAGGGAGAAGGCCGTGTTGTGTATGTTCGAAACCTCTCCAGTGACATGAGCTCCCGAGAGCTAAAGAAGCGCTTCGAGGTGTTTGGCGAGATCGTAGAGTGCCAGGTGCTGACCAGAAGTAAGAGGTGAGTCAGGACAAGCCATTGCAGGGGTGGGGAGGGCACAACTTCCCAGCCTGGGATGGCTGCCGAGAAGAGGCCCAAGGACATCTGGGGAACAGCCTAGGTCAGGGATGGTGACCAACAGCCTGCTGTGGCATGCGTGCCTCAGGTTCACCACCACGAGACCTAGAGGCCAGACCCAGGGAAGGACCCCTGATGGTTGTTCACCAGTAAAGACAACAAGCGTGGCTGATGGTCCACTCCGGGCAGCGGGTCATGCATTCTCTGAACTAAATTTCCAGCACTCCGGGGTCACAGGCACTCGTGTTCTTTGTATTGCTTTTCTTTCTGGGTGAGCTTGGTCAAACTGAGCGCTCCTTCATGGCAGAGCCAGACTGGGGCCCACGCATCCATTCTGGGGCTCAGCTGCATCCTCTCACTGCCCACCTTCCTCCTGCTCTCTGCAGTGGAGCTCCTGGCCCCCCAGTTCCTGGCCAGCCCTGCATCTTCCTCCCCCATCTGCGGAGCAGTGTTTTATCTGTCAGGGAATCAGCAGAAAGCTCAGGGTGCCTGTGACTGCACAGTTGAGATGTCAAAACCTTGTCGGGTTTGAAGTATTGCTAAATTATCTCCCATTACACTTGCAAGCTAAGTTATTAGGGCTTTGAATTTGTGGTTTAATAATAGTTAAAAAAAAAAACTTGAGCAGGAAAATGACTTCTTATGTATCAATCATTATAGCACTTCATACCCACTACAAAGGTGAGGATTAAAAAGCAGAAAATAAAGGCTGGGGAAGATGTGGAGAAATTGGGACTCTGGTGTGGTACTGGTGGGACAGTGAACCAGGCGGCCGACCTGGGAAGCACTGCGAGAGCGCCTCAGAAGCTTCCATACAGAGCCGTTGTGCGATGTAGCCGTTCTGCAGTGGGTAGAAAAGGACTGAACAAAGATCACAAAGAGATACCGGCTTGCCCGTGTCCAAAGCAATGTGATGCCAAATAGCAAAGAGACAGAAACAAGCCGAACACCTACTGATGGATAGACAAATAAGACGGTGTCTGTCCATCTAGTGGAGTAGCGCGTGACCCTAAGAGGGAAGGGGATTCTGACATGGGCCACCACATGAATGGACATGTAGAATGGCTGAAGATATGATTTCACTTAGGCTATATCTAAAGTGATCAAAGTCATACTGACAGGAAGTAGTAACAGTTGCGAGGCTGTGAGCGGAAGGGATGCAGAGGAGTTACTTTTCTATGGATATAGGAAAAATAAGGAAGGTAAATTTCTTTTTCTTTTCCTCTCCTTACTTCCTTTTTCTCTCCCTCCTCTCTTTTTTGTTTCTTTTCTTCACTCCCCTCTCTTCCCCTCCCCCTCGCCCCTTCTTTCCTTCATGGTACTGGAGATTGAACTGAAAACCTTCACACTGAGCTAGATCTCCAGTCCTTTTTATTTTTTATTTTTACCTTGACACAAAGTCTTGCTTTGTCATTAAGTTGTCTAGGCTGAGCTGGAACTGGCAGTCCTCCTGCCTCAGCCTCCTAGAGTACTGGGTTATACCCATGTGCCACTATGCCCAGTTGATAATTCTTTTTTTTTTTAATGTATTTGGTACAGGGTCTCACTACGCAGCTCACATGAGTAGTGATCCTATTTCAGCCTCACCTGGCTTGGGATTTCAGGGTTGCACCACCCCGCCTGGACTTGGTGGACAGCAAGCATGTCATGTGGTACCAAGGACTGAACCAGGGTCCTTGCGCTTGCCTATGCAGGTGCTGAGACTGCTGACTATCTCCATGGCCCAGTTGGTAAATTTTGTTAGTTTTTACAAATAAAAAATGTTTACAAATAAAACTTATACAAATATTATACAAATAGAACTTTTAAAAATTTTGCACGTTGGGGCCAGGGAGATGGTTCAGTGGAATAAGCACTTGCCTGGCAAGTGCAAGGGCCTAAATTCAATCCCCAGTTTCGGGGGGGAAAAAAAAAAGCACAATCTTCAGGATATCAGATGAAGGTAACATGGAAAAGCAGGGAAGCAAATAGATCTCTGAAGGGAAAAATCATTGTGTTAAGATTTTAAAAGTGTACATGAGGGGGCCCAGCCCTAGCTCAGTTCTTTAAGTGGCTGCTTCCACAATGCTGGCAGCCTCAGTTTGCTGTAGTTCGATCCCCACAACACTCCAGCCATGCAAAAGTGCCCTGAAGGCATTCAAGGAGCAAAAAAATAAAATAAAATAAAATAAAATAAAATAAAATAAAATAAAATAAAATAAAAGTGTACATGACCTTCTGAAAAGAGGCTTGGCCCTGCTGCGAGCTTCAGACCCTATTACGTCCACTGGGGGCAGAAGTCCTCCTTTGTCCCACTCAGAGAGGTATCAGGAAACTCGATTCGTCTGAGTGGGTGCTAGCTTCCTGTTGCTGTTAAGCCGGTCCTGAGCAGTAGGAAAATGGCGCTTGTCTCTGCTCTTGAACCACCTCTATAACAGCTGGATTATCGGTGAGGTTCTTTTTCTTCTTGTTTATGGAAACTGAAATGTCAAGGCAGAACCGCCTTTGGGTCCTTCTTGCCTGGCAGCCTTCTTGGTGTCTGGCTTTCCTCCTGGTCATGTAGAAGCTGCCTCCTGCACTGAGCCTCCCTCTTTCCTACTGGAAGCCACTGCCTCCCTTCCTCACAGGTCCAGCAGAGATCTGGGGTGGGCCACTGGAGTTTACTTTGGGTGACACGCTTACCTTGATGGCCTGGTGCGTTACACAGTGCTGTTGGGGAGGAAGGGATTGCCTGCAAGCAGGTGGACATCGTAGGCATCTTCCAGGTGGGTGAGATATGTACAGAACAGCAGCCACAGGAGGGAGGCAGAGGCACGTAGCAGCCAAGGAAGTGACCGCTAAGGCCCCTTGGGAAGTGGGCGTAATAGGGTCATGCAGGCGACTGCTAAGAGCAGCCACTTTAACATCAGGAAGGCCTGGGTTCGAATCATTGCTCTGCCCCTTGCCTTTGGGCAGGTTCCCAAATTCTGCAGGGCCTGTTTCTTTATGGTGAGATGGAGAGAACAGTATGCATGTCCTGGGGCAGCTGTCACTATGTCCCTGTGTGAGACGGTGTACTCAGTGCCTGGCAAACATTCTACAGATAAGCTGCTCCAACTCCTACCCAGTGTATGTGTGGGCCTAGCAAATGGTGCCATCTCTCACTGTGGGGCCATGTAACAGGGTTACTGAGTCAGGTGGCCTTCTGCTTCTCTAGTAAGGGCTGGCCTGACAGTGTACGCCAGGCCGGCCCAGACACATGCTACCCTGTTGTCCCCGTAGAGGCGAGAAGCATGGTTTCATCACCTACCGGTGTTCTGAGCACGCAGCCCTGTCCCTGCAGAATGGCGCAGCCCTGAGGAAGCGCAACGAGCCCTCCTTCCAGCTGCGCTCGGGCGGGTTCCGGCACTTCCGCTGGACCCGACATACTGACTATGGTAAGCACCCAAGTGAGGCCCAGCCAGAGGCTGGCAGGCAGTAGCTTCCTTTAATGACACCCAGAACTAAGGCGCCTCCAGAATGTGGCTCCCTGTCCAGGCCCCAGTATCCGGAGGGGTGTAACTGCAGCCTCTCTGCCTGTTTTGGTCTCTGTCTTATAACTGCCACCAAAAACAAAAACCTCCGTGGCCTCTAGGAACCATGACCTCATTGGCCAGCTGCTGCGCTGGAGAAGAAGGGGTGTTCGATGGTGACCCAATGTGGTAGCAGTTTTGTCCTTTAATGGACCACAATGTAACAACTCTGTCATCATGCCATTGCCATTTGGGGACAAATTGGTAAAGAAGGACAAACAAGTACAGCATAGTGGAGAGCCCAAGGTAACCTTCAGAGTACAGGGCCGAGTATCAGGGACTGGGTGGCCAGGAGCAGTTCTCCTGGCTGTATAACTGCTTGTGGGACCCAGGCTCCCACTCTGTACAAGAAAGTGATTCCAGTTTTGTTAGCTTTTCCTTACGTGCCTCAGCAGCAGGTTATTAATGGGTGGGATCCTGTTAGGGGAAGTAGGATCCTAGGCTGTTAGAGCAGAAAGGAGCCCTAGAATATTCTTGTTTGGGCCCTGTTTGCTCTGTAAAAGAGAGAGAGACCCTAAGACATCAACAGCATAGTAGAGATGTCACAGGAGGATGGCTATCAATACGAACTGTCCAGGGCTCATCTCTATTCTGTGACACCATGGACCACACGCGCCCTGTGGGGCCCACCCCTGTGGCAGATATGCCTGTCCTCTGGCCTTTATAAGGTGTTCACTGCCTCCTTCTCCCATTGACCCTCCAGACGGCAACCCAGAGGAGGCCCTTTCTGCGTCCGGGAAAAGCAAGTATGAAGCCATGGATTTTGACAGCTTGCTGAAAGAGGCCCTGCAGAGCCTACACTGACAACAGCCTTAACCTCCGAGGAATACCTCAATACCTCAGACAAGGCCCTTCCAATATGTTTACGTTTTCAAAGAAAGAAGTGTATGGGAATGCGAGAGCGAGCCAGCGTGCGTGAGAGAGAACACACGTGAGAGAGACTTGAAATGACTGTCCTTTTCAAAAACAAATCGATGTTTACATTGCACAAAGCTGCTTCTGTCTGTGAGTTTCCATGATGTTGATGTTCCACTGCCACATTAGTGTCCTTGCTTCCAAAGGGTTGCCTGGGTGCGCCTCAGAATGCTGGGTCAGTCACCCTCTGCCCTCCTGCCCGACTGACTTCCTCTCGTAGACTTGCAGCCTGTTCACCATAACATCTCCTGTCTGTAGTGTGTGATGATGAAATTGTCACTTGTGAATAGAATCAGGATTATAAACTCATTTTTAATTGAAGAAAAAAGTATATCCTTAAAATAATGTATCTATGGCTCAGATGTACTGTGCCTAGGATTATTGTATTGCTTCCTTGATTTTTAACTATGCACAGTTGTGAGGTGTTTGCCATTGAGCTGCGCTGCTCCCCTGTCAGATTGCCCTGGAGGAGCTGGGGGAGCCAGGCGGCTGGTCCCCAGGCAAGCGGTCCCTACAGCCACAACAAGGAGGAGCAGTGGAGAAATAGTTCTGGGTCTCTTCCGCCAAGTCCTGCCATGACTTGTTTTGAGCAAGTTGGAGTCAAGTTAGTGCAAGCCCCCATCTCGTGCCCAGCTCACACTGAAGAGTGTGCCCAGCTAGAGCCTGTGTGAAGCTAGGGAAAGGGATGTGACTCCCATTTTCCAGTGGAAGCAGTGGTGCCCTGGTGGGCAAAGTGACTTGCCCAAAGCCCCATGGCCAGTGAGAAGGCAGAGCAGTACCTCAGCCCAGGCCTCTGATTCTAGTTCCCAATGGATGGACGCCCTGGCTCGGGGATTGGTAGAGGTGAGGGCTGCATTGGGCAGCAGAAGCCAAAGGGCTCATCTGGGGGCTAAGTCAGCTGCTGACTTCTGAGCGTGAGGTGGGGCCCAGCCCCAGCTTGTGCCCGAGTGTGCCATTGGCTTGGATCCTAAGTGAACACACAGTTGGGGCTTGGAGATGCCACTGCAGTGGGACACATGTCTAACAGCAGCTGTCCTTTGGGGACCAGCTGCCAGCCCATCCTCCTATCTTCACCTTGGCCCCACCTGTGAGGTTGTTTTGATGGCTAGGGCAGGGGGTACAAGAGGAAGATGCACAGGTGGGGACAAATAAAGCAACATCTGAGCTCCCTTCAAACTTGGGCGACATTTGGATTGGGCTTTACTTCCAACCTTGTGTTCTTGCCTGATGACAAAGCTGTGTCCAGCTTGATGTCCTGGGAATACCTTGGAGCCACCTGGGAGAGCGCATGGCCAGGCAGGGTGTGACCGTATCTCTCCTGCTTCCCACAGAGTGTCCCACCCTTGGTCTTTTTCATATGTCAGAGTTCCCTGAGACACTTCTGTACTTTAAGAACTAAAAGGCCCTACCACTTCCACAAGCTTGAATGCGACTCGCTAAATAAGATAAGTTCTCTGTTGCTGCGTGCAGGCCTCATCCCTTGGGAATTGGTAAACGGAGGCCCTTGAGGATTGCTGTTGCCCTGGATGATGAGGGTGCTCCCCGCCAGGAGAAGGCTAAGGAAGACAGGCTCTAGGGAATTTGAGCTATTGTGTATCGTCAGTTTTCTGTGAGATGGAGTGAGGGGAGAATTAGGCAGGGTTCGAGAGTCTGGGCTTCTATTAAGGACAGCAAACATGCAGCACCTGGGCCACGACGTCTGCATTGCTGGCCGATGCAGACACAAGTAACCTGCCACGTAGCTCCTATTCCTTGAGCCTGATTCCTCAGTGCAGTGTTTTCGGCAGTGATCAGAGTTTATCTAATATCCTGCTCTGATCTTTAAAAGCCTCCCATCAGTCATACAGAACTGAATGCTGGCTGGGTTTCATGCTAGCTCCTTGTCTGCCTGTCATGCCCTGGTCAAAGAAAAAAAAATATCCCTAAAGCCATTCCCTGGCACACGACTGCCTGTGCTACTGTGACATACATCTTTGTTGAGGAGGGTGAGATGGGGGTGAGGGGTAGTAGACAGGAACATATTTAGGGAAGCCAGGGTTTGTAAGGGTGGGCCAAAAGGGGCTTTTCCACAGCACAGACTGTCATTTGAGATCCTTTTGTAGCTGCTCACTGCCCAGCACGTGGTAGGCACATCATAAGTGGAAGGAGCAGTAGTAAAATCCTGCTGGTGCCTCCTCTGGGACCTGATTTTCATCGAGGAATAGATTTCATCCCATCGAAAGGACAGACACCGGATGCAGGGTGGAGAGCTGGCAAGTCCTGACTTTGCCAAGAGCTTCCTGCCGAGCTTTGCTCAGGCTCTTCCCTCTGGGCCTCGGGTGCTGGAAGGAGTTGTCAGGTGATATCTTCCAGTTGCTTCCTCCTCAGTTCCACTGCCTTGGGCTGGTGGTTCCTGCAGATAAAGAGAGGCTGGCTTTCAGGGAAGGGGGAGCTTTGCCCTCCCCACCTTCAGGGTCAGCTGACACTGCCCTTGCACACAGTTCCGACCCGGGCACTGGATGTCGCTTAGACATTTGCCCTTGAGCACAGCAGCGGCAGCCACCTGGGCATGCTGTTGGCATCTGATGTGCCTGAGGGCAGGGCTGGGGCACCTATAGGGAGGGTAGGATGCTTGGCACAGGCACACAACAATCTGCTTGTCACCCCATACAAAAAAAGGCTACAAGTTCTAAAGCTGACCAACCCTGCCGACAACTTCTGTCTGGAAGACTCATTCGGTGCTGTGTATTATTCACCAAGGAGACTCCAGGGTCTCTCCAGGAAGAGTCAGCCTTGGTCCCTTTCCCACCAAATTAAGAAGTAGCCCAGAGGGGGCAGCTGCCTTTGGCAACCATCTCACCATAGCTCTGTCCTAGTATTTGCTCTCAGTGATGTTTACATGTGATTGCCATAACCGCTTCTGTAGACTGTGTCGACAGCCTCCTGTGTAGGGCAGGCTGTACTGTCCAACTCTGTGCCCTGCTGGTGTTTTCCAGAAATGTCTGATCCAGCCGTTAAGTGGAATTCTTCCATCTCCTTCCTCAGTCGGTACAGGCTGAATCAGAATCCTCGTTCTTGGGGGCTCTGGTTACCGAAGGAAAATGCATCAAATAGGTAAAGAATCTGAGTGCTTGGAGTGCAGCCCAGATCCCACTCCCTCACCCCCATGCCCTCCCCACCCCCACCAGAAACTGCTTTGCGTCAGAAAGCATCTGTAGGGGTTGCCCAGCATCTGTGTGGAGCACTTAGGAAAGCGGCAGGGCTCCAGGGGCAAGCGAGGAGATGGGGAGGCCAGGAGGCTGTGAGCTGCAGACTCGGTATTCAAGTCCTGACATGGGAAAAGACAGTCTGTTGTCTTTGACGAGGTGAAACGTTGCTCACCAACTTTTTGGAGGTGATTTGTTCTGGACGCATGTGATGTACTTGCCGGGGCTGCTGGAGAGGTGGTAAGCAGTGGGACAAGCAAGGCCCTGGCAGCCCTGTTGCTCTGCGTGCGTAAGCCCTGTCCGTGGGCCAGGCCTTGAGTGCAATTGAATGCAGCTGAGCCTGCAGCCTGAGATGGGGTCATCTCTGCTATGACGCAGCATCAACCCTGAAGATGTTGATGTGACTCACTGATGTTAACAGTAAAGTCTTTTTTTTTTTTTTTTTTTTTTAAAGCATTTGAGATTTACCACTGTGGTGTTTGGAGGAACACCATATCCAGTGTCAGACATGACCAAGGTTAAAAAATGGATGTGTATTACTAGCAAAGTGAGCCTAATGGTATTGGCCAAAGAGGAGTGACCCTCTCACCCCTACCAGGGGTGCGGGGAAAGAAACTGACTGGAACATATGTGCAATATGCTAAAGTTGGTCCCAAAGTCCCTGCAGTGTTTGCACAGTTTGCAGAATCAGGCAGTACAGGGTAAATGGAGGAGCACCTGAGAAGTGGAAGCCCCAGCACAACTATGCCACTGCCCAGAACAGGTGTGGGATGAGGTGCACCCCTGGTGCCAGTTGCAGGGCCCCCAGGATGTAGGCAGAGGTGGATTTTGCATCAAGCAGCAGAAGCACCAAGTGAATGCTGAGGCTTCATCCTGGCCCTGTTTCTCCACTGGCAAATCTGGGTCTCCTTTGGCTGTGTGAGGTGCTGTCCCGGAGACCAGAGCAGGGTGGCAGAAAGGAGGCTGGTATGAGGAAGGAGAGGGTAGGGGTGCCTCTTGGGCAACAGAAGCCATAGGGCAGCCAGCTCCAGAGCCAGCTGTTCACTGGCCTCTTTGCCAGTGAAGCCCTGGAAATAGGGAATGATAGATCTTGGTGCCTACTTTTGTTAAAAGATTAAGAACAGCCCAACCAACTAAAATGGGTGTGTGAAACAAACCATTTAACTTTAAGCCATCTCTTAGTGAGAAGCCTCAAGGGTTCTTACTTGCTGCGTGACCTTAGGCCTCCTTTTTCTAGTCTAACAAATGAGATTCTCGAATGATACGGGCACTCCCAGCCCAGAGCAAGGTGAGTCCATCTCTCCCCTGTGAAGTCAGTTCGTCTTGGCTGCATGCAGCTCTGTGCAGGGAGTGGGTCTTCACAAGGGAACTGGCCAGCAACTGGCCCAGTCCCACCTAGTCCTGGCTGAGTGGCCTTGGATGAGGAGGCCGGCTCCCCGGGACGATCTAAGCCATAGTTCTTTGTGGGGATGGTGACTAACAACCCCAGTTGGGCTTGGAGGCCACATCAGTCTCACATTAGCCTTGTCATCGTCCCCACCGAACAGCTTTTAATGCGAATGTTGTGACCGCCTGGCTGTTTCAACACTCTTGCTCACAGACAATACTAGCAATATACTTGTTTTGCAAAACAACTTCACTTAGGCACTTTTCGCACATTTCTTTCCAATGATTGTAAAACATATGGGGCAACAGGAGGCATCAATCACGCTGCATATGCTTAGGGCAGCTTTTGTCTTTCATTTCTTTGATGGTATATAGCAGTAGTAATTGAGTCTTTGGGTTTGCCAGGGACAGATTTTCAGAAATCCTGTTGCATCAGAACACCTTGCACAGGCAGAAGGAGTACCAAAATACAGCTGCCAAAACAGGGTGACTTGGAAACTAGTGTTTCCATCGGTGGTCAGTCCTTGGGCTGTGCAGCAGTTCCTGAGACGGTATTCCTATGGCTAGCACCTGCTCTGTGCTGTATTACTATTATTATTATTATTTTTATTATTTATTATTATTTGTCAAAAGATTGTCCAAGGAAGCCTTAAAGAGCCTCCGTTTTCCCTTTGCTGGCCTTGCTCACAGGGCACTTGGGATGGGCAGTGGTCAGTTGCCGCCTCAGCACTTTGCCTTATCAACATGCGGTTGCCACCTAGTGGCCGAAGACTGTATCCATCACCTACCCGGATGGACAGTCTAACACTAACCTTGGGAATGGATTATAATGGCAGCAGCAAATTGCCTGGGTGTTCAGAGCTGAGTAAGACGCGAGGGTCAAAGGATTCCGGAAGCAGCCACTTAAGCTTGCGCACCGTCTGTGAAATGCACTAGGTGTCCAGTGGGTGGACAAGAGTGGACCACGCGTGTGGTACAAGGAGGTTTGCTGTAACTGCAATACTGGCAGCCTGGCTGCTGACCTTGTTAAGTGAACCTCTGCAAGGTGGCCGCCTTACACCCTCAGGATGCGGGAGGAGGCCAGGATGAGCACGGGGCTGGGGGATCGCTGGCCTTGACCTTTGATGCGGTCCACCGAATAGCCAAACGAGGTTGGTGGGTTTTTTTCCCCTTTGTTTGTTTTTGTATTTTGTATTTTAAAATTTTGTCAAATATTTTCATGTTAGGAATAAAAAGTCATAAACTATTCCCAACTTTGTTTCTTGAGGGATGTTTTGATTCCACTCGAAACAGGTTGGAAATCTCAAGGGGGGCATGGTCTGGGTGGTATGTGGAACAGGGTGGTGAGCCACTTGGATTTCTAGGTGGTTCCTGGGGAAGATGACCATCTAGAAGTCCAGCTCAGTGCAATCTGCCCCGGGTGTTCATACCCACCCTCTCATCTCCCCATGCCCTTTAGCGTCGGCTTGGAGCATCTGCTGGTCCCAGAGGCAGCTGCTGATGTTGACGTCAACATGAACTCCCTCTCCCTGACCCTAGGTCTTTAGAGATGATGTCTGTAGCTAGCCTTAATGATGGGGCAAGGTGGTCCCATGTCCCTTCCAGCATTTCCAAATCTTGGACTCAAAATCCTTTTCTCTTGGTGAGACCATGCAACCTAGAGAATGCTGAGCAATAGGGAGCCAGGGCTTTCCCTGGCTCTGGGACAGGGTCAAAAGCAGGGAATGGCTAAACATGGTGGTTTTGTCATCCCCAGTGGTACTACTGTAGGGGGCATTATTTATTAGGAAGCTCAACAAGGCAACTACAGCCTGGGGTGCGTGAGTGTGAGGCTGTGTTTGTGGTGTGTCTGCGCGCGTGTGTGTAGGTGCGCCTGTGTATGCCTGTGTGCACGTTTGTCTGTGCCTGTGCTGTGTGTGTGTGTAACTACATTGATGCATTTCTTGAGAAAGGTGCAAGAATTTCACCGACACAGAGGGACACATCTGCTTTGTTATTTATAATAGAAAGCTAAATTTTAATTTTTTAAAGGACACTGCTGATGATTGAGAATCGAGTTTTTAGTTTTGCTATTTTTTTTAATTGGTAGAGGATTTTTATATATTTTTTCCATTTTGTTGGGTTGTGTCCTTATTTATATAAATACTTTATCTGTAAGAGGCAAAGAAGAAATCTTTGCTTTTAATTATTGTGGTTGTCATTGTCCCTATTTTATTTCTGGTGTGATTTCTCTGTCTTACCTTCTAAATGAGAAGATGTTTTCCTGTATTTGTACATTGTCAAAATCTATAGTTTCATAGATAATTTAACCAAATTGCTGTATGTATTATTATTATTCTGTGAGTATAAAGTTCTATTTTAACGTCTGTAAATACTTCAGAACTGGCTTCTTTTCTCCAGCTCCCGCTGTGGAGTTATTGTTTACATCACAGAAACTGTAGAATCTCTATGCTCATGTACTGTAAATAGTGAAGTGATCTGCTTATAAATAAACTTAACAAATACACTATGAGATTAAACAGAGAACACCACCCCAGCCCTGCCCCCGTGTGTCTTTCTTTATTGGTGCTATGAGCTCACAGCACGCAGGCCACCGAACAGGGAAGGGTCCAGTTCCGGGTCATCTTAGAAGGGCTCCAGTCGAGCGTGGCCCCCCTTCTCCCAGACTCTGCTAGTTGAGTCTTACTCCCCCAGGATGCTATTCATAGCCCAGCCCAGGCTCATCTCACACAACGCTTCTGAACAAAGACTTCCTTGTCCTAGCAGACCTGCTTTCCGCACCAGCACACTAAGTAAATGTTTTCTATGAGACATTTGATATTGTTTAAAGAAAAAAAAAGTCATCAGTTCCAGTGAGAGGATCTCTTCGAGGGCAGACCTGCACCATGCCCTGTGCCGGGGTGAGCCCGAGACATCTTTCTCTGGGTACCTGCTTGCAGCCAGTGTGGGAGGAGGTGGCATCTCTCAAGACTTGAAGTCTTGGAGCCAGGCATGGTGGCACATGCCTGTCAGCCCAGGACTTGGGAGGCAGCAGCAGGATTGCCATGAGTTTGAGGCCAGCCTGAACTACATAGCAAGACCCTATGTGGGGAGAAAAGAAAAAAAAAAAGCCACCCAAAGACTAGAAGTCTTGCCCATGTGCTATTTCCCTTTGTTTAAGAGAATGAATAAAAAAATAAATAAAATGTTTAAAAAAGAAAGAATGACAACTTCATTTTGTCCCAAAGCTTTTTAAGTGAACTCTTTGTGCAAGATACCCATGAACCCCCCAGAAGGGTAAACCGTGGGCAAAAAGGAGAATGCACAGATGCGAACTAGAACAATAGCTCATTGCATTTCAAGGTGTAGGAGAACTATTTTCAAATTGTTTATTGCATGTAGGAACCATTCTCATTGGTCAGGTGATTTATCTTCTGACTCTGTGACATTTGTTCAGGTTTCTTCAGTGGAAAGGGAGAAGATCCTGATTTTTCCCATTTCTACTTCAGGCCAGGGCCGCCTGGCCTGGATTCCAGTCCTTCGGAAGGAAGCTGTGTGACAGACCGCTCAGTGTCTGTCGCCCTTGACCTAATTAGGTGGTAGGTAAGCTCCAGGAGCCCAGGACTGCTGCCTGCAAGGAATAGGATGGCAGATTTATGACCTCAAGACTTGCATATGGGACCTCACTTGGTCTCCTGCTTCTATGTTAGGTGAACTTGGATGTGGCTCCTTTTAGCCTGCTGGTTTCCTGAGCTGTAAACTGTGATGACTTGGCTAGATGAACTCAAAGAGCTTTTATATTAAAATAAAAAGCTGATTCTCAGAAGGGGTTCTCACATCAGGCTGCTTGGCTTTGATTCCGGACCCCATCATGTACCAACTGCTGTCTTGGGCAGGTTTCTTAACTCTTGAGTCTGCTCTTCACGTGGCAAATAGGTCTGGTAACACTTCTGCCCTATAGGGTTGTTGTGCGATCAAAATTGAGTCATGCACAGTAGCTAGGCCAGTGTGCGCTCTTAGCTTGAACTGTGGCTTTCATTGTGCACCCTCCTTCGGTGCAAGCCCTGTGAGAGAGGCACGGCAAGGGTTCTGACCCTCAGTGGACAGAAAGAGGCTGCAGGAAGCTGTCCAAGAGACTTAGAAGTGTCGTGGCAGACCCAAGGCCAGCAGTATTTATGCCTACGTGTTTCACATGACATTTATTTCTCCTCTCTATCCTGTCGCTTAGCCACCACTCATAGGTACACCGGGACATGTCTCTCTTAAAAGGCTAATGCTCTCGAAGTGTCAGATAGAGTGGGGTTGAAAATCTAGTGTGAGAATTAAAAAGAATTCAATGCCAGACGCAGCCTCCTTTTGACGTGACCTGCACTTACGGGCAGGCCTCGCACTCCTGGAGCTCAGGTCACCCGGCTGTGGATGTCACAAGATCTGGGCCCTGTACATTGTGATCTTTGGGGCGTTGGACACTTTCTGGAGGGAAGCGAGAGACCTCTGCATGAACTGGGCCCACACCCATCCCCTTACTGGCCTTCCACTTCCTCCTTATAAAAAAAGGAAAGTTAGAGCAGACCGCGGATTTACAGTTTGGGGAAACCACATGATAATTCCCCTCCTCAGCACCCACTTTTCATCTGTTAGCTTTGGCAAAACCTTCAGTCTGGGGGGAAGGGAGGTTCTAGAGCTAATGTCTGTATAAGAGAACAGGAGGTGGAGGAAGGTGTTGTACGCCATCATGAAAGTAAACGGGCAAATCTAGGGTATGGGACTGCTGACCCTGTTTCTTCATTGAGTCTCTGGCAAGGAGATGAAGAAGAAGGAGCAGTCGTGGATTAAGACATCTAAGAACTGTAGCATAACTGGGAAATCACACACGTGCTGGTTAGCTTGATCACAGCAACCATTCCTCAGAACGCTGCCTATGCACCTTGGGTAGAAACCATTTCTATCTGTGGCTTCCACTTCAATAAAGCTGAGGGCGCTAGAGGTGTAGCTTAGCAGCAGGGTACTTGCCGGGTGTACTGGAGGCCCTAGTTTCTGGCTCTAGTGCTGCAAAACTTAAAAAACAAATAAAGCCGGGCTGGGGAACAATAGAAAAATTAGAATTTGGGGCAGTATAATAAATTTCCTGCAAACTCTCCAGCATGATATTGTCATCTTTAGTTTCGGGGTCTCCCCCCCCCTTTCATTTTTTGCAGTTTTCAACATGTTTCTAAGGCATGAATACTAAATTTGGGAGGTGGCAGATTCACCAGAGCATAGATTTGATTTGTAAAAATAAGCTCCACCTGCTTTTACAACCAACCAAATGCCTGTTCATTGGAACAGGGATTCTGCAAACGAGCATGTTAGGTGGTGTACATAAATTTGCATTCCTTAAAATCAATGAGAGAGCCAGGAATATGAAGTATATCTTTCCCCCAAACAAATCAATAAGAAACATGACAACTAGAGGTACACAAAACAAATCTCAGACATTTTGTGATAGTGGGAGAAGGTGAGTAAGGGCTGGTGCCACATGGGTCCCCTGCGAAGCAGATGCGGTGTACTGTGCTGGACCTTCTGTGGGAAGGAAAGGGGAAGCCTTGGGACCTGGGAGCGGCGCACCTGCAGCAGCCTTGGTAGACCACAAGGGGGCGTGGGGCTGGACCGGCCCTGCAGAATTCACCCAGGTAGCCCCAAGATGAGGAGGCCTTCACCCCAGTCATTAGGTACAGAACACCGGGGAAATAGAGCATCCCTGCAGCTCAGAAAACCTCAGGAGGGGCTGACACCAAGGGCCCCTGCTGCTCGCACTGTGGCTCCTGCGGGCCCACATCTCCTCTTGAAGAAGGGGCTGGTCTGCAGCTCACCCCAACGTACCCCACAGTTGGGTATGAGGTGCTCAGTTGTTGCACAGAAGTCTGTAGTCGTGTTATAAAATGATCTATTCCACTGAAAGAGTAGAGAAGTGATAAGATATGTCTAGAATTTGCCTTTAAATATATTAGCTGAGAAAGAAATGTAAAAAAAATTACAGATGAAGCAAAAATGGCCAAATATTCAAATGGAAATTTAGTGGAAATTTTTCTAATTTTGAGAGTGACCAAAAAACGTTTAATGAAAGTAAAGAACAAAAATGAGCTGGGGATATAACTCAGTAGTACACCATTTATTTGCCTGAGTTCAGGCCCCAGTACTGCAAAATAAAATAAGTAAAATAAAACTGATTCTAAGCAAGTATGTGAATCTGATGTTGATTAAAAGTTGAATTGATAGGTATGAAATCTATAGCATCAGCTTTAGCTCAATAGACAGTTCTTGAGGCTAAGAAGAATTTTTAAGACTAGATAAGACGTAAGCTGACTATTCCATCACTTCGCAAATCCCGTGACCCTCGCATCTCAAGAAGCTCTGTCACTTTCCACTGCTCGGATGGCATCTTCCCTTGAAAGGTGGCCTCACCCCGGCAAGCCGCAGCCTGGGCACGCTACTGGATGCAGCAGGACTTGGAGGCGGGGGCACCGCCCGGGCTGGGGCCTCCCCCAGGCTGGTTTCCAGAGGCTGCTGCAATCAGATAGAAGAATACACAGCTGGTGAGAGGAGGCTGCAGTGGCCTGCCCATTGGACCTGGTGAGGACCAAGAGTTGTGAACATGAGCACTTGCAGGGGCCGGCAGACAAGCACATGTGCAGAAGTTGGGGGGGGGTGTCAGGAGAGTGGCAGGAGCCAAGAACCCCTTCTCCAAGAAAAATGGAAACACACGGAGGATGACAAATGGAAACCCGCAGTGGGCACTGGTGTCTGGTGACATAGAGAACCATGGAAATCGTGACCAAATGGAGACAGTCCCTGTTCCACCCACACAGGGCAAGTGCTGCCTAGCTCCAGCCATTCAGGCAAAAATGCAAGAATGGTATAGCCATGATCCTTTAAAGACAAAACCTGGAAATAGGGCATTTTTAAATCTGAAAAGCCTCAATCTTAATATATGGACAAGAAATTCGTATCAACACACACACATGGGCCTGGGGGTATAGCTCGGTGGTAGAGCATTGTTTAGCACGTGCAAGGCCCTGGACTCAGTCCTCAGCATTGGAAAAGAATTGTAGACCACAAGTTTGCAGACACCTGCCACTGCCCAGAAGATGATTTATACAAATTAGGAAAAGACACATTTTCCTCAGGACACTTGACTCCCATCTTCTGTAAAATTTCAAGATATGTATGTCTGTGATGCGATACACAGGAGGCCCTCAGGAAGCATGCAAAGCATGGCTCACAGAGCTATCAGGCAGCCCCTTGTTGATTGCTGCTACCCAGTTGGAATCATCCCACAGCACCCAGAGCAGAGCAGAGCTGGGCCCTGCCCATGTTAAGAGCCACGTGTAAGGAGGGGCAGCAGACAGGGGAGGGCATCCAGGGTGCAGCCAGGACCAGAAGAAGCCAAGCCCTGTGAAGAAGCACAGCACACAACTAACCAAAGGAATGACTAGAAGAGGATAAATGCTGTCAGTGGGCCTCAGAGGAGCTTCTACAGGGTAGACAAGCCAAATTCAGAGTTCACTTTCTAACAGTGGTACCCAGCGAGGGTGTCATGTAGGGAAGGGAGCCTCTGTCACTGGTCACCAAGCAAGGGCTCATGCTGTCATAGACAGGACTCAGACGCCAGGCAGAGACTGGAAACATGGTGTCTGAAATGCCTACCAGCCGGTCATTCTAGGTTCTCGCTTTCCCAACTTTGGAATGTGTGGAGACCGCCCCGGAGTCAGTCAGTCCTGTGTGGTGGGTAGTAGCACCAGCTGGGAGGGCTGGAGGGCCCTTAGTCTCCACCTGGGAACCAGGCCCTGTCACTCTGCCAGCCTCAGTGCCTCGGACACAGAATGAGAATCATAAACCAGAAGGGGACACACGGCCGGCTGGATGTGTGGGCGCTCTGGCTCCATCCCCTCCCACGCACCTTGTTTGGCCGCCTGCTGCTTCTGCTTCTCCTCCTCCAGTGCCTTCATCTTGGTGTCATACTCATCAGCAAGGGTCTTCCACTCCTTTCGGTTGTTGGTGATCCCGTCCAGCATGGGGGTTATCTCCTCGTGGAAACGGGAGAACTCCTGGGTGGGGGGAGAAACAGAGACAGAGATGCAGAGAGAAAGAGAAAAGGAGGGAAGGATAGAGGCAGAGAGATACCTGCTCAGGGCCATGCCCCATCCAGGTAAATTGAGTCCTATATCAACTAGCCCCAAAGCCCTCTCACCACATACCCTTTGCTTGTGATGCCTCTCTTTGCTGCCTCTGCCAGAGCACGGCACCCTGAAGAGGGCAGAGACCTGGGGGCCTTGTCTCTTGGTGAAGCCTTGGCCTAGCTCAGGGTCTGGGACACTGAGATCCTCAGTAACTATTGTGAGTGAAAGCCAGGTGTTGAGTTCTTACACCTCTACGGATCCAAATAATGCCTTGAGCATGACATAGTACATGAAGCAGTTTAGCTCCTTTGATCCTCAAAGGCTCCTCTGAGGTGGGAAAACAAGTTTGGCCACTCCTACATTTGCAAACGAGATTGCAGTACAGATGGAGTAGCTGGGCCTGCAGTGAGGGCCTGCTATAGCTCTGTTCCACCCAGAGTCAGCTGTGCTCAGAGGTGCCTGGGCTGGGATCCAGGTTCCATCACAGAGGTGTGACCTTGGGCAGAGGTCATTTACAGCTAGAAATGTGGACAGCGACCTACCTACTCCAAGGGTGGCTGTGACTGTGCAGGTGAGCACTAGCCAGAAGCCTCATTCACAGCACTGCTGGGCTAGGAGGACCGCTGTGCCCTGTGGACCACAGGACCTCGCTTGGTCCACAGTATGCCAGAGATGCCCTTGGCCCCCGGCAGCACTTGTACTTCTCCCTCCTGACAAATGAGCTGCAGCTCCTACAGCAGAGAGCACTGGACTAGCAGCAAGAGTCCCACTTCTAATCCTATGCCATGGCTGGGCCCAGTGACATTGATCCTGTGATTTCTCATCTCTGACCTCCGTCTCCTCATGTGCAGTGTGGGCAAAATAACGTTAAAAGGGAGATGTGGGTAGTGGAGATGCATTTGGGAGCAAAGAGTCTCAAAATGGAGACTTTAACCTTAAACCAGAGCTCAAAGAGAAAGTCTGGCTTGTCCCCCAATGATGATTGTCTCCTGGTGACACTGGCCCATCACATTTCCACCAGCTGTGGGAGTTAGGAGGGCACAGGTCTGCAGTATTTCTAAGTGGGTCTGAGAAGGCAAGCACTTACCTTATAGACAAAGGTGCAAACAAAGTCAATGAAACCGACTTGAAGCTTCGGGAGTTCATCTGCCTTGTTTCTGTCCATCATGGGCTGTCATGGGAAAGAGAATTAACTGTATGGGGCAGTAAGAAGGCCCCAACCTGGGTTGGAGAGGTAGCCCAGCGGCATAAGCACCAGCCTGACAAGCATAAGGTCCTGAGTTCAATCCCTAGTACTGAAAAATAAATAAATGAAGGACCCACCCTACCTAAGAAGTATTCTTGCTTTTTAAAACAAAAACTAAAGCCATCAAGCTTCTCCATCTGACTTGCAGTTTGAAAAAATGTAACTAAATAATAAATAATAACCATGAGGGTATAATTGACCAAATTTTCTCAGAATATGAGAAAATCTACCCAACAGGTGACCACTGCATTCCACAAATAAACTGCGTACAAAAGAAAGAAAAAACAAAGGTGGCCAGTAAAGGTCACAAGAGGTAACCTGATATTGATTAAAAGAGATTTAAGAGACAGAGCAAAGGTTGGCTGTGTCTTGATTAGATCCTGATTTGAGCAAATCAATTGAATTCTTTTTCTCAACCAAGGAAAATGAGCAGAATTGGGGATTAGATGTCATTAAAGTATCACTATTAGCTTCGTGAGTATGGTGATGTGCTTATATGTGCTTATATGCCTGTACTCGTCCGTGCTGAGATCCTATCCGTTAGAGATACTAAAGTATTTATGGAAGAGTGACAATGTCTGGGAGTTATTTAAAAAATCTTCCATCCCAAAGTAAAAAGTGTACAAGAACGAGTAGGTAAAACAAGAATGGCAGACCTAGCTGATGCGTACAGCAAGTTCTCGGGCGGACCAGGTCTTGCCCTGGTGCTCTGCTCCTTCAGTGCAGGGTCAGGGCAGGTGGATGCCTGCACTGCTGGAACTGAAAGGGCGACCCGATCTGGGTCTGCACAGCTGGGTAAGTGAAGGACCTCTTGAGAGTAGGTCCCCAAACTTCAAGACGGCTCACAAACATTGTCAGGCCCCGCCCCAAACTCTCCATGGAGGGCAGGGCCTGTGAAATTGCCTCTGTGGCCTGTTCCCAAGGAAGAAGGGTGAGGGTGACCTGGGGACCCCCCGTAGAGTTACTCTCAGTGTCTGATCACCACTCTTGGTCAGGATGCTCTAAGAACAGGCTGATTCCCATGTGTACTCACAATGGGGTTCTGCTGCAGCACTGTGCGCTCCAAGTCGCCCTGCTCCCAGAATTCAGCTGCCACCAGCAGAGCCACCTGCAATAGACAGACCCCAAAACACACACACACACACACACACACACACACACACTCTCTCTCTCTCAAAGCTCCAGCCACAATCTTTCTATCCCTACTCTGCCCCACCTGTTTCCAACCCAACAAAAAAGATAAACCTTGCCCTGCCCCCCTTATCGCTAGAGAGACACTAAATGGATCCCCACATCTTATCAGGGGAAACTAGAGCAAAAGTGGGCTGGCACAGGAGCAGGACCGAGTGCAGGCCTCTGTCGCTGGCAGCAGGCCTGAGCTTCCCTCCCCCAGGGTCAGGAGGCCATACCTTGCTCTGCACCTCCCAGGGCTTGGTGATGGCCGAGAGGTCGCAGGCAGTCATCATCATGGCCCTGCACACAAGGACACCGCCGTCAGGCCAGGGCCACTCACGGCGACGCATGCTAGCTAATTCCATTTTTCTCTCCTGTCTCCACCCCCACTAGCAGGTGATTTTACTCCCATTGCAAGCAAAAGACTTCTTCCCGCATTGTAGGTAGTGTTCAAAGTCAGGCAGGTTTAAATCCTGCCTCTGAACCATCAGAGGTTTGCTACTGAGCAGTTAACCCAAGCCCATTTCCCCATCTGTAATGATAATCACACTTCCCTCATGAAGGAGGTATAAGATTAGATGAGACGCTGGGTGGAAAATCTTCGTGTAGCTCCCAGTCTGCCCATAATGTGTACATCCTGCTTTGCATTATGTACTAGGCAGTATGTAACCACCAGATTCACTCAAATCTAAGCACACCTTCGGAACCCCCTTGTCTTGTCCAGGGCAGAGCATTGCTTCTCAGTTTTTTTCTCATTATTGTGTCCTGCCCCCACTAAGAAAGAGCCTTTTTAGATTTTTTTCCTCTAGGTGCTCCCACATGCATCCTGAAGCCACAGATGAGTGGTTTATCTGTTTGGAGGGCCATTGGCCATGGTAAAGCTGAGCTCTTCGGCTTCCTTCCTTGGGAATCACCTTTTCCTCTACTGGAGCTGACAGGCTAGTTGACAAGGCCTGGGGCAGGTGGCAGCATGTGAAAGACAGTGGGAAGAGGAGAAGGAAGAAAGGGAGGACTCAGAGAGGATGGAGTTTCACACGGACAGGAAGGCAAGACAAGAATCGCTGCACAGCTGGGTGTGGTATAGAGTAGAAAGGAAGAACTGGACAAAGGACGGGGCAAGAGAGGAAGCAGGGGGATTTGAAAAGGCCTTGCAGTAAAGGTGATCCAGGGCACGGGTGCAGGTGTTAAGGACCACACTGGAGAGCACACACTGTACACAGGAAGCAGCAGAGCAAGTAAAGGAGGCTGTCACCCACTCAGAGCTGTGTCGCAGGTGTGGGAAGGAGCTGAGAAAAGAAAGAGGGGGAGAGAAGGTGGGAGACATCAGGCATTTCAGGCTGCCCTGAAGCGATGCCTGTAGAGAGAGGGTGCTGGAAGGAGAGCCAGGCTGACTTGAGGAGACCGACTGACAGGGGCTGGGGGTGGGCAGTGGCAGGAGGCTGGGTCTCTGAAAGTAATTTGTTGCATAGTTAATTTCACAATCAGCTGTATTATGCAATTTTTATATAAGCTCTGGGAGGCTGTAAGCATCATTTATAAACTATTAGCAAGTTTGAATAAAATATTTCATTATGTAATCCTTTGCAAATATCAAATCATCATTTAAATGGATAAACTTTCAGAACTGCGCACATCCTTAGAAATCCCTTTATGATACCCTTTATATACGCAAAAGGACACATTTCCAACGCATGCCTTGTGCTTGTGTTGAATGTTGTGTACTTGTGAAGCTTGCTATTGAACAGATTAAGCAAACATTAGCTCGGCTGTGCATTGTCCCTCACTTCCTGGTACATGTCATTGTCTACATGTTAAATCCACAGACATGGCTTCAGGAAATCACTAGATGTTTGCTTTCCCTGACCTCAGGGATCATATGAAAAACGCTCCCAAAGGTTGGGGAAACACCCAAGTATGCTGTGGGCAGTGAGATCGGGTGTGTATGTGGAGCGAGGGGAGGACGCGATCAGGGAGGGGTCAAGAAAGCTGATGGGGAGTCTCAGCTCCTAAGAGGAGGCACTGCGTTTGCTCTAGCACCAGCTTTGCTGCTAGCCTTGCAGGGGGCCCCCGGGACCATGTTGGGAGTGGGGTGTTGGGTGAGGCCTCCAAGGAGCTGACAGTCCCTTGAGGAACTCAGAAGAAAAAAATCCAAAGGTGGAACCACTATCTCAGCTCAAGAGTGACAGTATAATAGGGCCTTGAGGTGTACACACAAGCTCTCCAGTATGGCTTGAATATCTCTGTCCCCACCCTGTTTGGATATCACAGCCTTCAACTTCAGTGCAATGGCAACAGGACATGGAACCTTTTGAACGTGTGGATTGGTGCTAAGAAGAGAAAAACTTCAGAGCTTCCTCTTCCTACCGTGTAAAACTATGGCCAGCAGACAGCCCTCATCACAAGCCCATTCTACAGCCACTTCCATCCTGATTTCCCGCCTCCAGAACTATGAGAGATCAACATCTATGGTCATTTTTTCATGCAGTTTGGCTAAGACCCTCCCCAAGGGGCAGTCAGAAGGAAGGGCACAGGGCAGAGGTACAGTGGAGAGTATGGGGATGGAGGGCCTCCGGGAGGTGAGTTATAAGGAGCATTCACCTATCCTGCAGGATGTGTGCCAAACGCCATGCAGGGGGCTACTCTCAGGGAGCTTGCTGGCTCGATGAAGAGTTGCACATTTATTTCAAATGCATGTGTGTAAACAAACAACTCCTCCAAAGGAAACGAGCTCAGGTCCAGCAAGCTAGCTCCGCAGACTAAGCGCCTGCTTAGGCAAGCGCACCCAGGTTTGATCCCTGGCACAACTTGCTGTGCTGGTCCTGCCCCGGGGCACGCTGTGCTGGCCACCAAGATCGGAGCATGGTGGCACATGACTATAATCCCAGCACTGGGGAGGCTGAAAACAGGAGGATTACTATGAGTCTGAGCTGTGTAGTGAGACCCTATACCAAATTAAAATTAAAAAAAAAAAACAAATAAAGGAGTTCCAGTGTTGAAGATAATACAACATGAACTGGTGAGATCAGGGAGGGCTTTCCTGAGGGCTCACCTCTTGAGCTGACAGCGGTAGTATGCTGTGCGGAGCACACATGCAGCATGCACATGGCTATTAACCTGGCAGAGAGTGGAGGAAACACACAACAGTGAAGAACCCCTAGGGCCAAAGCCCTGGTGAGAGGAAGCCTGGAGTACTCAAAAAGCTAGAAGGAGGGCAGAGCTCGGGGGTGATGACAAAGGTGTCCCAGATGTGAGCAAGCTCAGACCATTCTGAACATGGCAAGTGGGCAACCTGCAGAGATGCACTTCAGGGCAACAGGGGGGACCGGTGAGGGCTGGATCAGAAGGCTGACGTGGTCAGGTACGCACTTCACAAAGATCGGTGGTTCCGTGCGCAGGGGACAGTGACATCTGTCAGGAACCCAGTACAGAAGCCCGGGCAGTGTCTAGGCAGACAGAGGGGGTGATAAAATGTCCAGAGAGCCATGTCCTTTATGCAATACATTCTGCAGGGTCGGAGGGAGATTGGATATAAGAAGGAAAGGACAAGGAAGAGACAAGAAAAAGGGTAGATGATGGCAGGATTATGATGCAGAGGAGAACGAGAGTAGGGCACAACGATCTGTGGGCTCTCCCACTTGTGCCTTATCTGCCTGATCCGCAGTCATCCGTGCCGCGGGGCAGGGTTTAACAGGAGGGCTTTGGAATCAGACAGGGCCAAATTCTACCCTCCATCTCCTGACTTGCTGCGTCCAGAGCAAACAACTGAACATCTTTCAGCCTCAATCAATTTGCAAAGTGGGATAATTATATTAGGTTGGAATCTATGAAAATCTGATTTCATGGATCGAAACAAGTAATATACGCCACCCTATGTCACTGTCACAACACAAGTTGATTGTGTAGGGCCGGCCAGATAGCTCAGCAGACTAAAGCGCCTGCTTAGGCAGAGCAGAGCCAGGGTTCAATCCCCAGGCCCGCCGTGCCAGCCCTGCCCCTAGGGTGTGCTGAGATGGTGATTGAGACTGGGCATGGTGGCACGAGCCTGTAATTCCAGCACTTAGGAGGCTGAGAACAGGAGGATTACTACAAGTCCGATCTGGGTAGTGAGACCCTGTAGACCCTGTACTAACACACACACACACACACACACACACACACACACACACACAAAGTTCATTGCATAGAGCACTCACTGTCCTTAATGCACGGCCTTGATCAAATGAACCATTCCAGCCACTGGGTGGCCTTGATCAAATGAACCATTCCAGCCACTGGGTGTGGTGGCTCAGCTGACCTGAAGCAAGCTGAGCTTTCATCTGCCTTGTGCATCCCCCAGACAGATGGTTCTTCCTGACCTCAGCTGTGAGGCCCAGTGCTGCTCTTCCTGCCTCCTGCAGACTGTCCAGGGAAAACATTCCAGCTGTCCCCCTAGCCAGCCCCCTACCTGCCTGCTGTTCACTTACACCCTTCCAGAAGACCCTGGGGCATCCTGAGGAAGCCATGGGTGTGTAGGAGGAGGTCCTGGGTGCTCCATGAATACCTGTGTGTCTCTAGGTAAGTCACTTTGTCTTGGGGGGTTCCCTCCTTCCTCACTTATAAAATACCAGGCCAGGAGTTAGCAGACTTTTCTGCACAGGACCATGTGGTAAACTTTTCAGCTTTCGCAGGCCCGTGCTCTCTATTGCATCTACTCAGCTCTGTCTTTGTGACTCTGGGGTGGCGGGACATTATAGGGAAAAGGTTGACTTATCTATTTATCCTCAATTCTGAGGACCTGTAAAAATATTTGATTTTTAATTTTCCTTCAAAATAGGAAAGAAGATACAACAATAGTGAGTATATAATGATACAGTCTTTCTGTACTGTATTTCTCTTAATGCCAACACAATCATAAAGTATGATTGTTTGATTAATTGATTTTTTAAAAAATAGTTGTTCTAGAGAGGCAGAGGGGCCTAGAGCTCTGTGAAGTCAGAATTGAGCCCTCTGTAACAGAACCCAAATTGAGGGCTGGGAGAGTGGCTCAGTGACAGCGCATGTGTTTAGCAGGAAAGAGGCCCAGGCTCTGTCCCCAGGGAGTACACACACACACATAATTTTATTTTTAGACACAGACATTTCATTGTCTTATAATTTTTCTTTATCATGAAATAATCTTTTTCCTCTTCTTCATTTGTCTTTTTTTTTTTTTTTTTTTTTTTTTTTTTTTTTTTTTTGTCTTTTTTTGAGACAGAGTCTTGCTATGCAGTTCAGGCTGGTCTTGAGCTCAGTTTGTAGCCCAGGCTGGTCTCAAACTTGCC